AGCTGCCATAGTGTCTGTGTGTCCATGTAGCCAGTGCTGTATTTAGAGTTCATGCTGCCCTAGGCAACACAAAAATTGCCCCCCCCAAAACACACACACACACACAGAGACCCTGACACCAACACCCCCCCACACCCGAGAGATCCTTCCACTACCACCACCACCCCCTTACAGTGGCAACCTCCCCCCACCCTGGCGAGAGAGAAGACGCTCGCCTTCACAGCTCCAGACAAGAGTCAGGCTCTGCATACACCATCAAGCAGCCCGTAGCCTCTCTCAGATCTCACCTGGTTCCCATGCTGCATGTGTCCCTTCTTCTATCCCTTCTTTCGGGGGCAGCACTGCCACCTGAAAAATGCCACTGCCAAAAATGCCGCCCTAGGCAAATACCTTGTTTGCCTTGTGGTAAATACACCCCTGCCTGTAGCCACTGAGCTTTGCACACTCTCCTGGACATGCATGGTTGTAAGGGTGCTGCCACGGCGTCCCCATAGATTTGGATAAGCTGCCTGCACACAGCACCTGGAAGGCCATTCATAGACTAAGGGCCTCAGCACCCATGTGAGTGAGATCTAAAAGTAAGAATGATAATTTATAAGTAAACCCAACCCTTATTTTACGATCCAGTTGCCTTTCCTTACAGAGTAGACACATAAGTATTAAGAAACTTTTGTGTCTGGGGTTTTTATAAATGATTCAGTGGTCAGTAGGTTGAACAAAAGAAGTGGGCTCAACTCCAGCCAACTAACCATGTTGAAGTCCATAAACAGGTTAATGCAATTATCTCCATGCATATCCTAGTTTTGAAAGGAAAAAAAGAGAATGGTCTTAAAGAGCAAGTCCACTACTTTAGAGCATCAGAAAGCTGGAATATGGTTGGGGGTAGGCTACTGCACTTGACATTACACCTTATATTTGTCCAGGCTTACATTTTTAAACTACAAAAACAACACAGATTTCCACAACCCGGCTTAAAGCATATTTTCATTTTGCGGTCACATTTGAAAAAACCTCACTATAGTTGTTATGTGTTTTCATTCACACAGCTTACCTTTTTTTTATTATTTCTTATCTTTTAGATTTTTCTGAGGAGGAGGTTTCATGGCTGATTGCAAAGTTTTTTGAATTATGACAGATTGAGCCTGTCCTAAGTCTGTTCTCATTAACATACGCTACACCTTTAACCCTTTGTTAGGTTAAGCAGTAATCAAATCTAGACAAACAAACAAAGTACCGCTTTAATGTTCTTATCACCAATATTAGCCTACATGATATGTAATGAAGATTGTATAAAATAGCTTGTCAGGCTAGAATATGCTACAGAAAAATGGCAACTGATTGCACACAGGATGGTGGCTCACTGTGACCAAAACTAAATCAGTAATGTACCCGCAGAAGAGGTTTCTCAGACACGTGACAACTATAAAATAGGCATTGTCCCAATTTGGCCACAAAAGTGAAAATACACTTGGAAGCAAACCCAAGGCTTGCTTTAGCTACAGCTCATACAGTGCCTTGAAAAAGTATTCATACCCCTTGAAATGTTCCACATTTTGTCATGTTACAACCAAAAACATAAATGTATTTTATTGGGATTTTATGTGATAGACCAACACAAAGTGGCACATAATTGTTAAGTGGAAGGAAAAAAAAAAAAACGATATTTTTTACTTTCTGCTATAAAACATATCCAATACAAAAACTTGAAAAATCTAATTTCTTGATAAATTTAAGCCAAAATGTATTCTGCTATATATTTTTTGGTAAAAAAAAATCCTGAAAATTATAGCATCTACAAACTATGGGATACATACTGGAATTTTTTATTTATCTATTTTTATACTAGCAATGGCGCCGGTGATCAGTGACTTATAGCTGGACTGTGACAGTACGGCAGGCAATCTGACATAACCAGTGACACTAATACAGTGATCAGTGCTAATAATATACACTGACACTGTACTAATGACACTTGCTGGGAAAGGGTTAACATCTGGGGCAATCAAAGGGTTAACTGTGTGCCTAGTAATGTGTAAAGTGTTTACTGCGTGCTGCTTTTACTAAGGGAAACAAAAAACAGCCATAAATCATTGGCCAGGACCTGCTGTTCGGCTTGTGCTGCAGCCAAAGACAGCACAGTCAGGTAGGCGGGTGTCCATGCGCCCCCTACCTGGAAAGGCAAAATTATATATATATATATATATATATATATATATATATATATATATATATATATAAATATATATATATTTTACACACACACGGTTCTGTGCAGCCGGCCTCACTGTAGCAGTAAAACTACAGTGTGCAGTTGGAAAGTGATAACAGAGGATGAAAGTGGGTTGTAGTCCTGAAAATGCAGTTTCTCTATGGGTACAGTACAGCGAGCAAGTGTTACCCTAGGACAGGAAGTATATTGTTGGAAGGATCGCCAAGTGACAATAAAAAGGGAAAAAAAGTCTGAAATGTGAAAATAACCCAGAAAGTGCAGTGAAACGAAAAGGCTCCTTTAGGAAGGAGTACAGTTTTTGGGAAAGATGGGCAGAAAGTTTTTTTTTTTTTAACCTACAAAATAAATTTTGTGCAGCACATTCCCTTTGGTGAACACAGTAAAAAAACAGAAAAAGAAACCATACAACACAGTGAAATATTTTTATAAACATATAAACAGACCTTCAGCTCACCTTTCATTTATTTCTGATGAAATATAAAGTCAATCTACTGTTACAGAAATAAGATTTTGAACAACTTTGATCATTCTCTGTTGATTCTTCAAGTTTAAATTGAACAAAGCACAGAAAGTGTTTACAAATAGTATTATAAAATACAGCAATCAAAATGTGGAACAGTAGGTATAAAAAAAAAAATCACTTATAAAATGAATTAGGTACATACAAAATCTGTATTCACTGAAAATCCACTATGCTCTCCCTTTATTTTATATTGCTTTTACTTTATATTTTATCCTTTATTCATTATGGTCAGGCCAAAAAAATACAATTTTTAATTTTATTTTATTTTTAATTTTTACCAGAAATGTTTTTTTTTTTTTTTGGATGCAGTAGACAAAAGTTGAGAACTTCTATTGAGTATTTAGGATTCCTTTGGAGCGATTTTTCCTAACTTACACATTGACAATGGTTTCACCAGAGAGAAAAGTGAGAGGTAGTCTACAACAGCAATGCAAATAGAAACAATGTTTTCACTTTTTTTTTGTAGGGTAGGGAAGGAATAGAACCCCTGTTGTATTGTTGTCCATGACCCTTATGCAGATTTTTCCTCAGTTCCAGTCTCTTAAGTCTTTGTCTCTATGGAATTGATGAGAAATCTCTCCAATGGAGCCTCAGACACCAGTAAAGACTCAACACTTTGAAATACTGCACATCATTATATTTAATTTTTATATGCAGCTAGCAGGTTGTATCCTCTGCCCACTTTTCATGTTTTGTAGCTTCCTCCTACCACATCCTGTAAAGTGCCTACTGTTAACAGTGCTCAGTAGCTCAACATAAAATTTATGTATGTAAGCACTGACTCCTCTCCCATTTACTCTTTACTCTTCATCCTCCATATGATTCTGCCAGAGGTTTCAGAGAGAAAGTGTGTTCCTAAAAGAATATAAATTCTACTGTTCTCTCTTTCTAGAAAACCCTGCGTCACTGGTGCACGTTGCATTAAAGTGGTTATAAAAGCTCTGTGTACAGCAGTTCCCCCAACTCCCTCAATACTTACCTGAGCCTCATCGCGATCCGGCGATGTGCACTACAGCCTCGGCTGTCAAGGATCTCTGCCTTCTCATTGGCTGAGACAGCAAGCGGGAGCCATTGGCTCCCTCTGCTGTCAATCATAGCTAGTCAGCCAATGAGGAGGAGAGGGGTGGGTCCAAAGCCACAGCTCAGTGTGTGAATGGACACAAGGAGCAGCAGCCTGGGAACACGCCTGCTCGGGTGCCCCCATAGCAAGCTGCTTGCTATGGAGGCACCCGACAGAAAGGAGGAGCCAGGAGTGCCATCAAGGGACTTGGGAAGAGGAGGATCCAGGCTGCTATGTGCAAAACCACTGCACACAGTAGGTAAGTATAGACATGTTTGTTATTTTCCAAAAAAAACAAAAATGAACCTTTAGCATCTCTTTAATTGCTTATTTGTAAAACAAAGATTTTATATTTGTAGTGTAGAAAAAACATTATAAAATATCAGTTTAAAGTGTATAAATGTTAACAAAAAATTAAAGCTGAACTCCAGGCCAACTAAATACACAAATGAGAGGAGCTACTTTACCTGACAAATGATCTGCCACCCTCAGCCTTCTGACTGGACAGTGAAATACCTACAGGAAACTGATAATAGCAGGAGCTCATTCTGCACTCTCCTCCTATCAGCATGTAGCAATAGAACTAACTGGCTCCCTGTCCCAGTCTGAGCTCTGCTGTATAGGTGACTGTGAGAGGCTGATGCCAAGTCAAATTCAGCTGCTTACTCTAGTTGCATAAAAAAAATGGATTGAATGATTTTTTTAATACAGCGCGGTATAAATGTCTTTTGTATCTGTCTGGAGTTCAGCTTTAAAAAGCGGTTTGCTTAACGCTTTGTCCCAAAAACTATTATAGTTTCCCTTTAAATAACTTGATGATCTTCATTTTGTGTGTCTGCTCTGATCTCTAGAAACCTTGCTTCCTTTGACACTGAACTGAGCTGCTGTATTTTATTTTAAGCTCTCTTATCAGACTCCACTCATGCGATAAAGCCTTTTAGCCAAGTACAACATGACACCTAGAAGCCCATTCATGTCGTTGATGGCTTATGTTCCGGACTGGCGAATCAGGTGTGTTGTGGAAGCAATGCATGAAGGGTAAAAAAAATTTTCTTTCCCTATTTAAAAATTCCATCATCATCAACCATAAAAAAAACAAATACTAATAAATAAATAAATTATATTGAATAAAATATTTTTTTGTAAAAAGGTGGATAAGTTCTATGTTGTTTCCCAACCGTTAGCGGTCAAAGCTCATCACGCGGTCTTCGAAACGGCCACTTCAGGTGACGAGAGACGTAATCCGCGGCCGAGCCCACTAGCCTCATGAATTCATCGACATCAAAGGAGTAGTTTGTAAATTTCGGATGCTCCCCCAAAGTCGGGTGATGTCCCTAAATTAGCAAGCATAAATTCAGTGTATGGTAAGGTTTTCCTTTTTTTTTTTATTCTACCGAGAGACAAGTTAATTAAGTCATTCTGTGCACAGAAATAGCTTTCATTTAAAGCCCCCAGGATCTATTGATCGCTTTTTTCTGCATAGGGCACAAGGGGAATTATTGACAGGCTGAACTAATGACCAATTAATTTTCCTTTGCTCTAACCATAGCCATCAATGTGTGACCAATCAATGGGCGAGGAGAGGACAATGTAGTTTTACAAAAACACAAACTGAAACGGCAACTTTCAGACAACTGATGAAACTTTGTGGAGTGTTCTAAGCAAGAGTCTTGTAAACATAAATACTGAGCCAATCAGAATTGGGTTTACAAAGGAATCTCAACATATATTAAATAATTTTAATATTGGAAGCGATAGTATCAGGTGCACAACTACAGATCACATGATCCTCCAACAAAAATTTGTTGGGACCCCCCCAGCGAAATCTTTCTCTGCGACTTGTGACTAGTGACACCAAGATTCAAACATACTCCTCCTGGGCATCTGACATCAGCTCTCCTACAATGTAGATGTCAGGACCGTGATCTAAACCTGTGACCTCTGTGGTGTCTGGCTGTAGCTCATTTCATTGTGCCACCTAACATGCTGGACAGCTCCCTGTCAGATCCCTTAGTACAATCTTGCCTCATCTCTTGTTCCTCATGAACCTTGAACTATTTGCTCCTCCAATTAATTTCTGGATTTAAGCCATGTGTTCCTGTTTGCCATATTATTGTGCTCTCTGCAGCCAATATTGTGTTACTTTGCAGCTGTCTCATTACCAAACTTGGCTTGTTCCTCAACTACGCTTCCACTCAATCCCAACCTGCAACCTGTTAGTGACCGTTGGCTAGCTACTTGACTATGTTTCTACTTGATCTCTGCATACAACCACTTTTTACTAACCTTTGGTTTGTTTACGACTACTCTTCTGCTTAATTTCTACCTGTTATATCTGCTACTGGACACCAGGTTGCTCACCTCCTGGTGGGGCGATCCTGAGAACCATTACATGGTACGAAAAACCACAGAACTTATCTTCACCATCAAGAACTTCGGTGAACACCAGTTAGTGCTTAGACCTCACCTCAGGTGAGCCCGTGTCACCCGCCAGGGTGACCTGCTTGAGTACTTTTCCAACTGATCGTGGGAGCTTGTCTACTTCCATAGCTACTGGTCTCTGAGCCTGACCCCTGAACGTAACAATAGACTTTACAGGGGATTAGGATTGTAGTCAACTGCAACTACTCCAGGCTGCATCCACCACCACACAAAAGCTCACAATTCAGCTTACATCAGCAAGGGAACTTGGTGGTATCTCTTTAGGAGTCACCACTTTGATCCAACCTGCTTTCCACCAGCTCCCGTGTCAAGGCTCATGATTAATTACCCCCCACTGGTTAACAAGAAAATAGTGCTCCAGTTGTGCAGATTATTAGTTTTTATTGGCAATGCTTTACAACACCACCTCTTGAAACTGAATTCTCCAGCTCAGGTATAATTTCGACTACACTACACCAGCATCTGAGATCACTCCTGACTCTACCCAACATGTTTCAGCCAACTGGATCTCTTCAGAGGCTAGGTGGAGGTCTATATTAATTTACCATTTGGATTTTTTGTACTGTGCTTAACTATATGTGCTTTTATTTCTTCAACGACCACCAATGGTTTAATTGTATTAGTAGCTTTGGGTGGAGGTATATGCCGCTTGCAGTTTTTTAGATTAGGTTTTAAGTAATAGCCTTGTTAAGCTGACTCATATTTTGTTCTTTCCAGGATAGGCTACTGTGGGCAACAATGGGAGTACCGCTAATAGCCCGATTTAACAGAGGGATTTTCAGGCTCCACGGTGGCAAGTGTACACTGGGTGAGACCCTCTTCCGGGATTGTATTGCGTTCCCACTAGGGTGGTTCCCTCTCTCTTCCTGGGGTACCTTTCATTGCTCTGTACTGACCAATATACAAATCAAGGATATGTATTTTCCAAACCATACAGTCAGCCTAAGACTTACCTTATCCTGAGGAAAAACCTTGTTGGCCTTCTCCCATGTGATGTAGTGAACTCCTCGAAGCCTTGCCAAGTCCAGGTAACACCTCTCATCTTCACAATTATACCTGAAAAAAATTCCTATCATTCCTGTCCATTCAACGAGAGCAAAATGTAAAAGTAACACAAGTGCAGTAGGATAACAATTGTGAGATTGCTCAGTTAAATACAAGTCAGTGGTGGCAGCTCTTGTATTCATGCCCTAACAGCCCTTTTTATATACACTATATGGCCATGCGTTTTTGGAAATATTACGATCATACCTACACTACGTGGCCAAAAGTAGGTGGCCACTTCTCCAAATGGTTTGGTTTCCATTGAAGGGTACTGTTAATGCAACAGCATGCAAAGAGAATTATGGGCTTGTTTTAACCAGTTGGCGAAGGTCATTTTCTGTTCCACTATGACTGTGCCCCTATGCCAGCTCCATGAAGACATGGTTTGTCTAGTCTAGTGTCGTGAAACTTCAGTGGCCTGCACAGAGCCGGGACCTCAAGCCTACTGAACATATTGGATATGAATTAGGATATTTTAAAGGTGATCCAGGTCTTCTCGCCCAACATCACCACCTGACCTCATAAAGGCTCTTCTGCCTGCATGGACACAAATTCCCAGAGATGCATTCAAAAAAATCTTGTTAAAAGCCTTCTAAGAAAGATGAAGCAGTCTATAGCAACCCAGAGTTTCCAAAAAGAATATTCAACAAATTCACATAGATGTGATGCCCAGGTGTCCTTAAAGTCTACAATCATTCTATATGAAATCCACCATAGGCAACAATGGACTAGGCATCCTGTTATAGTCTACTGGAGATCTGTAGTAAGTGGAGACCCCTCAATATTACAAAAAGGAGGAATGCCAAAAAAGGAGGGGGGGGGGGGGGGGGGGGGGGAGTTATCAATTTTCTTTAAAATATCCCATAATGGACCTGTAAATGACTCTTAATTCATACATCCAACTTGTTACTGGTAAATGGCAATGATTCAAATGAGATTTTTTTTTAACTAGACTAAATATATATTTTCTAACCATTATCACCATAAATGCCCATTAAACAAGATTTACATTGTAACATTATACCTGCACTACATCACGGTTATAAAGAATTACTAATGGAGAAAGAGCCCTGTCATTGTGATTAATACCAGACGATTATCACAGTCTTCACATACAAGTAGACAGATTTGGTCTGCCTGGGAGCCAGACTGACCCTGCTCACAAAAATTGTGGGAAACAAACTTTCTGCTTTATTTTAAGAGTCTATTAATATCTATCGGACATTCTTCTGCAAGACGTCACATTAGGACAGCTTTAGAAATATGAATAAATGAAGAATGCTGATGACTTTTTTATTAAACGAAAACTACAATTGGAGCCATAATTTTCCAAAATACCAATGTACCAAGTCTTCTATTGAAAATATGAAAAAGTCTAAGCTTTTAGTCCAAGCACTCACTGTATGCTTGGGGGCCCACAACTGTGACAATCACTTCCTGAAAGAGAAAGACTTTTCAACTACTTCTTGTCATTATGTCATTGCTGAGGAAAGATCTCGGCCAGAACTTGTAACAGATAATCTAATGTCATCTACTCTCGGATATTGAAAGATTTTTTTTGTACAATGTGAGGCCGCCTGGCTGAATTACTTCCATATGAAACTGTACTCATGGTGAGTCATGGATCACAATCTCAGCAATGGCCGGATGTCATTTTAAAGCTCACTACCTACTGTTTAAATTCTTTCTGTACAATATTTGTTTACTTATACCAACAACCATGTAGTGCGAAGGGCTTTCTTGATTGAATATAATTAAATGGCTACTTTAGGTAAGCCCTCCTACTGAAAGAAAGTACAACTTAAAGAATATGTAAACCCAACATTTCATATTCCCAATATGTGCCTGCTGTACCATGTACTTGTATGAAAAAGTATCCTGTTCTCTTTGTATTGCTTCCTTTGTGTGAAATCCCTGGTGTTCCTGCCTGTCCCTCTGCTTTCCTGTAAAAACTGACTACACTAAGCAGGAGAGCACACTGTGGTCAGTTCTCTAGCTGTGTTGGAAACTCAGTGTGCTCACCTCCAATGAACAGACTTTTGCCGACATGCCTACCCCCCTACACAGCCATTCACTGGAAATATCAATGTGCTGCTGTTTTTCCTCCCCCAGCTCTTATATAGCTGAGAACAAAGAGAATGTGATCACTTGTAAATAAGGGGAATATAAAGTGGTTCAATAAAGTGGATTATTTGGAGTGCAGCCGATCAGACGTCCTTTGTTCTCATGCTGGTAAGTTAATTGGATCCTGTCTAAGTTGTCCCTAGTATGTGTATTTATGAATGTAAGTTAGGGACCTTAGATTGTACGCCCCTTGAGGGTTAGGGACTGATGTGAATGTACAATATATATGTAAAGTGCTGCGTAAATTGATGGTGCTATATAAGTACCTGAAATTAATAAATAAAAAAAAATATTAGTCCAATTCTTGAAAAGGGGGTGGAGCTTACACGCAGAAATGGATCATAATCTCAGCAATGACCTGTTGTGAGTACATGAAAGAAGGTGGCACTTTTATGCACACTTGAACACCATATGTTTCAGAAATTGCATGTCCTTAACTGGATATTATTTGCCAAGGCACAACATGAAACATAAGTAATACGCAAACTCACCTCTTGTTTTTCATGTGTAGCATACTTGCCCCCTATGATTAATAACCTATCTGTCCCCCATTCAGAATTCTTAGTAGAATATCCTTGTGGTCCACCTTGTTCATCAGATTTTTCTGGCTTGCCATGGGCGATCTGTACACACGGATCCCATTCACATTTGGAATAAAATAGCTACTTTAATCAACAGTGGTCATTTGTGCACAGTGCAGCTCACAGAAGCATCAGAAAAAAATGCTGTGCATGTAGGTTAAATCAGACAGTACTTTTCTCATTAAACCCTTCTAATAGCTCACTGCCCCCACCCCCCTCCTACTTTGTTGGAGCTGTTGCAAATACCCAGTGTAATGCTTCCAGATATGAGAGAGCATGTGATCTTCTCCCAGGATGCTGTACAGACAGGCCAACGGCCAGACCCCAACATTGACATGAAGGATGACACCATCAACCTTGTGAAAGCTGACACAGGGTTGATACCTGGAGGAAGATGGGTATAAGTTGGTCAGAGGGTGGGGGCTAGCAAGAGACTCATTTTACATATAAAAGTAACTAAAAATAAGCTATATCTAAAAATATTTTTTTGGAGGTGCAAAGGTAAACTTAAACTTTAAATGTATATTAGTCAGTGTGTTTTTGGGTGTGTAGAATATCCATTTATTTTTTTTTTTGCCTACTGTACTTTTTTTTAATCAAAGCAAAAAAGGCACTTACAGCTCAAATACAACGGCCCAGTCTGGTAAGAAGAGCAGATGTGTCAGTCCAGCCCCATGCATCCCAATAAATATATCTGAATTATGTGTGATCCTTAGTTGTTCAAGGAATCCAAGAGATCTAAGGGAGAAAAAAAAACAAAACCACGGAGAATTTACTTCTGCTTAATCTTCTAAAGATTCTGATTAGACTCTGGAATACAGCAAATCCTTTGGGAGGCTTACCCTGTAACTGTTTTTCTCACAGCAGTCATTCAGCAATATTGTAGACTAGAGTGCCTCACATGGACCACATTCATTCACATAATACAGACCTTGCTCAAGAATGTCTAAAACACTGTGTTCAATGTAATACACAAAAACACAAAACAAGGAAAAATATAGTGTATTTTTAGTGAGTATATTGGGTGTCATTATTGCAGCATTTAGATTAGTTTTTACATGACTCACATTTCTCTAAATGTTCACTTTTTTCTACCTCAATTATTCTACTGCATTAAATATAGCAGTTTGTAGAGTAGTCACTAGAGGGAGCTCCCAATTGCTCAGTGCAATTACTCTGCTATTATCTCTTAAAAAACTGTTGAGATATCAGTCACATAGGGAAAGCAATGTTTTCAGTGAGACAGTTGACACATTTTGAGTACAATCAATCATTCGGTAGCACTGCGAAGTAAGCATGTTCATATAAAAGTACAAATTATACATTAGAGCTAGGTTCACACCTATGCAGTTTGCGTTTGATCCGTTTCTGCAGTGTTGTTTGCGGTGCGTTTTGAGTTTTTGCACATGCATTTTTTATGTGTATTTGATGCGTTTTTTTCCCAACTTGTTGGGCAGCTTAAAATGCATAACGCATCAAAAATGCACTACATGCATTTCTGCAGCTCCTCCATTGAACAAACAGTAAGAAGGTAATTCTGGCGCACAGAGATGAGGTAAACAATGTATATAGAGTGATGCAAGGAATAGCAATGATGTGGAATAAAGAATAATGTCCATAAACAAACAGAAAAGTCTTTATGGAAATCTCTCAGGCAATACGCCCAAAGATTAGCGCAAATTAACGGCAGCCATCCTAGGAGCAAAGTCAACTCCGTATGCAAGAACAAAAGGAAAGAAACAGGAGGCGCCCATCTAAGTGCAGTAATTAAAACTGTGCTTAATGGTAAAGGGTAAAAAACAATCACAAGAGTAATAAAAAAACAAGCACATCTGTGTGTGAGGGATGATCGTTCCTCAACGTCCTGCAGGCACCACCAGTGGAATGGGAGATGTATGCTGGGCTGATGGAGATGTGTGAAGGCACAATGGAGGTCTGTCCTGTTGAGTGACGTCACTTCCACTGGTGTGCTCCAAGTTGGTTGTAGGTTTCTTCTTGTACAGACACCGCTGGATCGGCTTCACAGCACCATTACTCTACAGGACAGACCTCCATTGTGCCTTCACACATCTCCATCAGCCCAGTATACATCCCCCATGCCACCGGTGGTGCCTGCAGGACGTTGAGGAACGATCATCCCTCTCACACACAGATGAGCTTGTTTATTATTACTCTTGTAGTGCGCTCCAAGCTGGTTGTAGGTCTCTTCCTGTACAGACGCCGCTGGATCGGCTTCACAGCACCATTACTCTACAGGACAGACCTCCATTGTGCCTTCACATACCTCCATCAGCCCAGCATACATCCCTTATGCCACCGGTGGTGCCTGTAGGACGTTGGAAGAATGATCATCCCTCACACACAGATGAGCTTGTTTTTTTTTATTACTCTTGTGAGTGTTTTTTTATCCTTTACCATTAACACGGTTTGAATTACTGCACTTGGATGGGCGCCTCCTGTTTCTTTCCTTTCGTTCTTGCATACAGCATCTCCATTGAAGTCTATTGAACTAAAAATGCAATGTTTTGCATTTAAGAAAGTCCTTGACCCTTTCCAAAAAATGCACTGGGTGAAAATGCGTAGATTTGAACATCTCCAATAGGAAATCATGTTAAACTGACTGTAGTGCGTTTCTGCAAAATGCACCGCAAAACGCTTAGGTGTGAACCTAGACTAAAACAAAGTGTTTAAATTGACAAAATCATTTCTATCAAACTTATTTTACAAATCAATCTAAAAAAAATATAAAAAAAACTATGAGGGAGATTTACTAACATTTGAGCACTCAGAATCCAGTGCAGCTGTGCATGGTAGCCAATCAGCTTCTAACTTCGGATAAGTTCTAAGTTCAATAAACTCTGCATAGAAACCACACAGCTTCCAGATTTTTTATGACAGAGCTGTACCAGATTTTGAAATGCAGCTGTAGTAAATCTCCCCCAATATTTTTCCTTTTTTGGGCTCATAAACTAATATACAAAAAAACACCTGGAAACTCAAAAAACATGGTGATTTATCTACATACTGAGGAAAACTACTCCACAGAACATAGCATAATGCGATGAATCTAACATGCACCAAATATTCACTGCAGGTGATTCTTATAGATGCATGTGTTTTAAATGACAGTAAGGCTTCTTTCACACTTGTGGCCAGGGGGGGATGGTAAATACAGGCAGTTTATGCCCCCACAGTGGACATGGTGCCACATGGATGGATGGTAAATACAGGCAGTTTATGCCCCCCAGTGGACATGGTGCCACATGGATGGGTACACATTCCATGACAATGTCAATGCTACGTGCTGATTTGACAGGTTGCACCACCTATCCCATGTAAGTGAACGGGGCTGCAACCGCAAGCTAAAGGCTTGGCATGTTCCTGCAATGCAAACTTAAATTAAAAAAAAGCAAAGAAAAAAAAAAAAAACAGCCATCAGAACAGGCAGCATCACCTCGTGAATTCCTGCAAATTTCCTTTTACCATCCTCTTAAAAGTGGTCCACTGCAGATCACTTATCAGGGGGGCAGTAGACACCACCGCTAGTGTGAAAGGAGCCTAATTGAACTATCACCTGTGAATGTTTGGAAAATGTCATACAGGTGACCATTAGAAGAACATCGTCATAATCAAAGTTTGTGAAATGTAAATTCATATATTTATTGTCAGGTGATCGTCAGAATTACACAAAGTGAGCAGTTTTGCTATCAGAACTACAAACGCCATTTAGAATAGTCTCAGTTAAAATTTCAGTCTACATACCTGTACTTGTAATCCACAACATTAACTTGGTAGAGAGGAACAGTCTTCAATGCTCCAACCAACTAGGGAGAAAACATCCACCAATCAAAACTTAGAAAGTGGACAGCAGAGTAGATCTGTAACCCATAATTTTCCTATGCTCCAGTTCTGGGTGTGTTTCAGAGAATTAAAATTTAATTATCACCATAAAATAATAAAAAATAATTAATGATCAATTTCTTTTTGGGTCATTCTTACAATAGGAATGAATAATCTATAGTCGGCAATGTCACTGTCGCCCGATCGCCACCCTCAACATGCGACCATCGCACGACCAACAATAATACGTCACGCCCACGGCGTCAGACCCCAGACCTTCTCACCAAACTCATGAGCAAAGGACCGGCCAATCTAAAACCGCGATGTGACGTGCGTAACAACGCCACACTCAGCTGCGCTCTGCACGATTGACCAGCTAATGGTCTACAATCTGTGCCTGCAGCCTGAATGCGCTTGTTACTGGGTCGGGTTAATTACACAACTAACCCTTCACTGCCACCACCCCCTTTTTGTACAAAGAAAGGGGAAACTCTCTTTATCAAATATACACTATAATGGTTGAAAATTTGCCTGTCCAGTACGGTCACTGCAGGCCGATTGGGCAGAGGATTAAACAAACACAGTAACGTCTCTTCAAAAGGCAGGAATTCATGAATTGCAAGTAAGCACTTAAAAACAGTTTAACACTTTCAGAAAGAAAGATATATCACTAAAAGAGTCAAACAGGTGCAATAAAATATTTACAAAGAGATGTGACTAAGATTATATATATATATATATATATATATATATATATATATATATATATATATATATATACAGCATAGGGATAATAGGAAGGAAGTTACAGGGTTAAGTTACTTGACAGTATGCCTTGGTTTGTAAGCAGATCCACATTGCAAAGGGTCTCCCCAGGTGGTATATTGATGTTCAACGTGGGAGATGTGTTTAGCTTAACTCTTTAGGCTTGCCAGCCTGTCTTTTAAAAGCCCCCTGCAGGGGGGAGAGAATGGCTCTGAATACTGGCCATGGCCAATACCCTGTTTTGGGCGGGATCTCGGGCGGACTCTGAATTAAAACCAATATCTTCATAATCCATGATATGAAACACAAGGGACAAACTGACTTGAGGAATGTTCATTTAACTTCTGTCACCTGGCTGGTAGGTTTTATGAGGTTCCAACTTCTTTCAAGTCCAGGGAAAAACTATCTTATCTTGATTAGGGAGGGGTGAGTTTTCACAGGCCTTGGGACTGCTGCTCATGGGGGGGCTTTGTAGCGCTGGGCCCCCCTGCTGCTCCAGCCTGCCAGCAACTTTTTACACACATCTGTCCCTGTGCCTCTCAGGAAGGGAGGGGGTAAGGAAGGATTGATTGAGGAATACTTCTAATAAAAGGGGGAACTCCGCATCCAACTCTGATGAGCAAGTTTGCTACAGGCAACCTTTGTGATCAACATGCCACACACAAGGAAATGGACTTTGATCGATAGTTAACATATAATCGTTAGTTAGCGATCACACCTGTTTCCACCATGCAATCTCATAATCTGATTGATTGAAATGCAATGGTATTCATGAACAAAGTGTCCCAAGTGCTGCCAATTGATACAAAACAATGAATCATTTTCCATCCTGGCCGATCTTGGAAGGAAGGTTATGACTATTCAAATGCAGAATTCAATCATTTAGAACAAATCACACGAGCATCAGATAATGAAATTGAAATGTGTGCCCACTAGCACAGTACATGGAATAGAAATGGTCACATGACCTTTCACATCAATGGCCTCTTTACTTTTAAGAAAAAACCTAAAATATGCCTACAAAAATAAAACATACATATAATCCCCATCATTGTACATCAAATTGCAGATTTTCTAGACTCTAAACTAAGGTCCAAGGATTGCTACATATAAGAGGAGAAAAAAGGCAGAATTACAAATACCTTTATTAAAACATAAACCTAAAAATATCTACAAAAGCACACTAAATTAGATCTGTCCTATTTTTTTTTTCTTTTTTTAGAGTTTATAACGGTTTTGTAGTTCAGTAATCCTTGTAGCCTATGGGATTAGGAACACAGCCATACATTTAAAAAATATCTACCCCAAGGAAAATTTTTTAAATTCATAATTTTTATAATACTATAATTGTATTTGATAATTACAGTATTAAACAGACAAGCACTGCCACCTTCAGGCTGCAGTGGCATCTGCAATCCCACATGCAGACTGAAGGCTTATATTGATAATGAAGTCTCCAGCTTGCAGCTGACATAGTTATCAGATGTTCAAGAACCAGTCTGATTGGTTGCTGACAGTAGGGACAGAAGCTGTCAGTGACACTCAGGACTGAGAGCCACCAGCCAAGAAAAATAGGTAACTAGCGGCTCTCAAAGAGCGGACTTGTATTAAATATCAGTGGCAAAGGGCATTGTGCTGGGGAATACAGATTTTGGACAGGAAAGAGTCTATGGTGTCTAAAATACTGTAAAAAAAACTACACATTAAGTTTTTTTGTGTTTCAAATATCTTTTATTATACTTAAAAAGTCTATAGCAAGTGTCTTCTGGGTGCAGGGCATAGGCAACACATACATCCAACATATAAACACTTAAAGCAGTAGTAAACTCCTGATCTGAACTTTTTTTTTAATCAGGACACCCCGCAGCTTTATGCAATAATGTGCTAGTATGCACAGCATACTAGCACATTATGATAGACTTACCTGGCAAGGGCAGCCCTCCAGCGTTGTGCTGTCAGTGCTCGAGCGCTTCCATAACCCAGTCTTTCCAGTTCATGCTGTGATGGGAGTCACTTTGGGTGGGGGGCCCATGGAACCCAGCTCACTTTGGAGAGGTGGGGAGACCCCTGTCTCATCTCCCCATATCCCTCTTATGTGTAAATCACCCTATGCCTGTTAGGGGTACACAGTGATCTGTCCTAATATTGGGTGGGCATTGTATCAGACTGTGTAGACATGTTTATGAGATTGGTGGGGTGGGGGTTGTTGATTGTTTAATGTTATGTGGTGGCATCCCATTGTTCTATTGTTTGTCTTGCTTGGGAGCAAACTATTATGGGATTTGTGTGTTTATGTGTATTAGCTTAGTGGGGGGGGGGGGGGGGTCTCCAGCAGCCCTCCCTCCTGATGGGACTGTCTGCTGGTGTGAAGTTTGAATACCTGTGTGTCTCTTGTTACTAAATGTAGATTGCCCCACCCTGTGTCATTATGCAGGGAGGGGGGATTATCCCGAGTGTATATATCTTGTATCTGTGTTCAGATTAAAGTCATCTAGTCTTGTATGGTCGGCTGTGGTGTCTGTTGTCAGTGTTCGGACGGGGAAGCGGTATTCTAACTGAAGTACTCAAGCAAAGTCTGGGTTGGTTCCGTTACACACTCCATTTAGCCAATTGAATGGCCGGGCCATGATGACATCACTCACGCATGGAAATGGGAGTCACATCGGCACGGCACACAACGGGTCCCATAATGTATTCTGAGCTGTGCATGCGTGGCTCAGTATACATTGCCACTGACATGCAAAGGGAAGCATTTATGGCAGAAGAGACCATCAGAGTCTCATCTGTCCAGGGGCGGGGACTGACCATTTGGAAACTCTGGCACTGCCCAAGGGCTCAGGATCAGTAGGGGGCCCCATGAGATGCCACTGGTACCTTTTTCATAGGCTTTTTTGAGTTTGGGCAAGGACACAGGGGCCCCATGATCCCCTATTGCCGGGGGCCCCATGAGTTGTCAGTCCGCCCCTGCTTCTGTCATAAAAACCTTGCCTGTCAGCGTGTTATATTTTTAACTGTAATACCGCTTTAAAACAAAAATGAAATGTTATAACATACCCACACCAACTGTCATTATAAGAGTAAAAGTGTACGCTAAACACGAAGCATTCTGGAATAGTTGCTGGAGAGTTCAGACAAAGTAAATTATAGTTTCAGGATGTTATATAGGCCAGGAGAAGACGAGTAATCAATCTGTGCCTGCCAAATACTTTCAAACAGAGGCACGGAGTCACAGCAGATTGCATTTATCTTTCCAGACAGCATAATCGAATGAATCTAGCTTTTGAATGCTTCTATCGAGGGGGTTGAAGACTTCCACGATGTAGCTATGTGAATTCTGTTACCTTGAAAATATACTGTATTCATTTTTGGCTGGATATATAGTATGTCTAAGGAGGACCGTTTGGACCAAGGGGGGCTGAAGGATGTTTTTTGAAGGTTCTGAAAAAAATACTGTAGATAGTGATCTTGCCATGTGAGGCTGAGACATTGAAATAACGGGACAACAGTTGTGACGACTGAACCCACAGCTGGCTGAACAACCTCTAATGCAAGCACTGTAATTATTGGAGGAATAAGGTCGTTTTTTGTTCATTTATTTGTTTTGTGGGGGGGGGGGGGTCTTATTTGCTGCGTAATAGCTTCAGCAGGGTTTCATTGAAATTGTACCCAAGGCCCCTTTGCAGACTGGGCATCTGGCCCCTGTGCATCCAATCCTGGCATTCTAGTGCATCAGGGAGGTAAAAGTGCAGTATCCAGCCCTGGTCAATGTCTATGGCAGGCTTATTTACGCTATGGCTAGATGGGGCTAAGCACTGTACCGAGTGGTATGCTACCTGTAGGGCCCTACACATTCAGGGACGTATGCCTGGAATGTGTTTAGGGCCCTAAAAATGAGTAACACTCAGTACAGCATTTGGCCCCATCCAGGTGCAGCATATTTCAGCCTGCCATAGATTTTGACAGGCTGCAGGGCTGGATGCTGCACCTGTACCTCCTGGGCACCTCAAAATGCTGGGACTGGATTTACAGTTGCTAGACTGCCATAGTGCAAGGGGCCTAAGCAGTACTCTGAAAAATTTACCCTTTGTCTGGAATTCCTCCTGAAAAACATCAATGCACTTCCTGGTATGCGAGTGTGCCTAGGCACTCCTGTGCCTAAAGCCACATAGCTGTATATCTGCAGTGTGACATTTACAGTACTGCACCCTTCAACAGTAAGACGCAGTGAGATTTGGTAATGCCACTACTATGATCACTGTTCTCCTTGCTGGTGGTTCTAACCTAAGGAAGCAAAGCCTTGCCTATACCAAGATGGCTGCTTCCACACAGAAACACAGTACACAGAACAAGACAAGGTAAGTAAGGGGCAAGATCAGCTGCAGGGAGACCACAGGGAATACTGGTGGCTAGTCCTTCGCCCTCAGCCTTTCTGGCACGGATTCCAGACTTCAGTTCTTCTTTGAAGCCCCTCACTCCAGCCAAAACATAGGGCTGGAAGGGTTAGAGCCCCTGTCCAGTTTTTACTGCTGTGTTCGGAGAGATTTCCACTCACTTCCCATCAGGACATCATGGATTGGTTTGAAATACTAACAAGTAATGAGAAAATCCAAAATTTTACAGGATTTGAGAAGGGAATCTTCCAATGTCTTAGGAAGGGATTTAAGCTCTCTTTGGGAAGAATTCATCTCACCTCCTGTTGTGTCTTTGAGAGAAGAAGCGAGGGGAAATCTCCTCAATAGGACACAGACACAAAAAATAAACTCTGGTAGAGATTTAAACCATTCTCTAAGAGGGCAAAAGGACAGTTTCACTTTAAAGTTTGCATACAACCCAACTTGAGAGTCATGTTTTGTGTTCATTATTAGCAAATTAACCACTTCCTGTCTGGCCATGTCTATAAACGGGCCGGACGGGAGCGCTGCCGAAGCAGGTGGACGTTTCTAACCGTCACCTGCATTCACTGCCTGTACGCGCTCCCTGGGAGCACGCAGCACCACTGGGAGCATGCAGCACTGATTGCTGTACGGGACCTCTGTGTGAGGTCCCAATTCATGTGATCACTGATTGGCCAATCAGTGATCACATGAGCAGTAGTAAACTAGATGTCACTTCCTGACATCATTGCTTACTACTTGTGAAATCTGTGAATGATCAGAGATCACATGGTACAAGGCTATTCACAGCAGCCTTGTACCATGTGACAAGCTGTGACCAATCACTGCACTCACAGTACTTCTCAATGGCTTCAAGAATGCAGCCACAGAGAAATGGAAATGATTGCTTTTACAGTCTTTATGGATGTAAAAGCAAAGCAATCAGTGTAAAAAAAGAAAACAAAAACATTCATCACCCCCCACAAGTAGTACAGTGTCACTATGGTGACACTGCACTGCTAGGGTGACAGTATGTTAAAAAACCAAAACAAATATAAAAAAATAAAAATAAAAATGTTTTTGGTTATAAACTAATCTGGGTTATTTTTTTTTTTTACTAAAAAGATAGCTGAATACATTTTGGCCAAGATTTATGAAGATTATTTATTTGCAAAATTTAAAAAAAAAGTTTTTTTCTTCAAAATTTTTGAACTTATTCATTTATATAGCAAAAAAAAATAAAAATTCCAGTGGTGAATAAATACCACCAAAATAAAGTTTTATCTGTCTCAAAAAAAATGCTAAAAAATTCATATGGGTACAGTGTTGCATGACCGTGCAATTGTCATTCAAAGTGTGATAGCGCTGAAAGCTGAAAATTGGCCTGGACAGGAAGGGGGGGAAAGTGTCCGGACTTGAAGTGGTTAATATGCTGTGTTTGCGCTAAGGACAAGAACCTTTTGTAGGTATGAGTTACAGTACAGAATCGAACTTAAACACTGACTGACTGACTGTACATGGGAATGTCCAGAGTTAATCTCCACATTCTGCTGGAATGTGCTGGCTAAACAAGGCACTCAGTGTCTGCTGGCCCAAGTCTCCTATCCCACCCTAACACTTCTGTCTGATGATCTGTCCTCCCTATTTCAGCCATTAGTAATGGAAAGACAAAAATCCCCCCTGGGAACTCCCAGCTGCCTGGGAGAGGGGAGGATAACCCCTACTAATACAGCATCCATTTTCTGCCATAAATATTAAAGGTCTAACTTCCAAAGACTACCAAGAAAAAAAACTGCAGTTCCAAAAAACCTTTTCTTGCACAATTTTAGCCTGGGTTCACACTAATGCGGTGCAGTATATCGCATGTGATTCGCACAGGAACCGTGCCACATTTCTGTGCGAATCACATGTGATCTATTCGCAATGCACCCGCACCAAAAAGGTGCAGGACCTTTTTTTTTGGTCCGCACTAGAATAGGATCACATGGGTATTCACAATTAAGCAGTCCAATTCTGCACATCGCACTGCGTTTTGCGGACTGCCTTCAGGGTGTTGTTAACATACACACCCGCAGCGGTTCGCATGAACGGGGGGCGATTCTGATGCGGTGCGGAATTCGCACAGCAAACGCTACAAATTCCGCACTGCATCAGTGTGAACCAGGGCTAAAGGCCCATTTACACCAACCTGATCCGCTGTGTTGCATCGCATGTTAAGTTAGGGCAGCCTTTTCATTTGAATGGACTGCTTGATGCATCGCAACGGACCAAATATTTGCGCATGCTATGTATTGTTTCTTTCGGCTGAAATTGCTGCAAGGCGGCAATACAGGTGCACTAAGAAGGTGTACAGTGGTGCCATCACTGCAATGCCACTGAAACATAAAGCCTCATGTACACTGAGCGTTTTTACAGCGGCTGTTTTTGGCATCGGGCTTTTTATTTCTACAGCCAGTAAACTCCCCTGCATGTTATCCTATGTGTCCATGCACACATGGGCTTTTATCAGTGTTTTTTGGCAGTCGGTTTCAGGCTGGTAAAAAAAAACCCAGAACTACAGCCTTTGAAGATGAGTTTTCCAGCTGTAAAAAAGTTGTAATGCTGCAAAATGCTGAAAACCACTGAAAAACGCTCAAAAGCGTGACAACGCGATTTTAACCACTTGCCCTCCAGAGGATTTACCCCCCCCCCCCCCCCCCCCCTTCCTGACCAGGCCATTTTTTGCGTTACCCTAGTGAATGAATTATGTAAATGGCCTATATCTATAGCAAGGGCATTATTCAACTTTAGTCAGGGCTACACAGTTTTTATCTACAGACGTCCCTTATCTGCATGGTTAGCTTTTTGGTAAAGATGAAATATCCCTTTAAGCACTCGCCCTCCAGAGGATTTACCCCCCTTCCTCACCAGGCCGTTTTTTGCATTACAGCGCTGCGTTACTTTAACTGACAATTGCGCGGTCATGCAACACTGCACCCAAATTAAATTTGTGTCCTTTTTTTTCCCCACAAATAGAGCTTTTTTTCAGTGGTATTTGATTACCTGTGCATTTTTTATTCTTTTGTGCTATAAGCAAAAAAAGACCGACAATTCTGAGAAAAAACTATATTTTTGGCTTAACTATTAAACATGTCCAATAAAAAAATTTTAAAAATCTAATTTCGTCACAAATTTGGGGCAAAATGTATTCTACTACATGTCTTTGCTACAAAAAAAAATCCCAATACGTGTAAATGAATTGGTTTACGTGAAAGTTAGAGCGTTTACAAATGGCGGTATATATACTGGGATTTTTTTTTTTTTTTACTAGTAATGGCAACGATCAGCAACTCATAGCGGGTCTGCGGCAGACATTCTGACACTGGAGGGAACTGACTTGGTGTCACTGACATCCCTAGTGACACCAAGTGATCAGTGCTAATAAAAAGCACTGACACTGTACTAATGGCACTGGGCAGGAAGGGGTTAACATCTGGGGCAATCAAAGGGTTAACTGTGTGCTGTGTGTGTTTTACAATGGGTATGTGTCTGTGCTTTCCACTGTAAGCACACTGCTTTGTATGGCTCTGCTATGCAGACAGGGGAGAGATCTGTATTGTTTACATACAGTTCTCTCCCCCCGTCAGTATTACTCAGCGATCACCGGCCGGGACCAGGTGATTGACCGCCGAGGCCTCACGCACGCCCCCTACCTGGAGAGAGTGAGTGTGAGTGTGTGAGTGTGTGTGTGTGTGTCCCTGCCACCCTGTAGCAGTATTCCTGCTATAGGGCAGCGGTAAAGCGGTTAAACGCGGCATTCTACAGCTAACACTACTGGTGTCTTTATAACATCCATTGTCCATGAGGCCTAAAAGTCAGAAATTTGATGGTTTGCCATGGACAACACATCTTTTTTTTTTTCTCCACTTTTTTATCATTTTTTGTAAAGTTAAAATAATAGAGCCCTTTTGTATGGCACATCTCCCTGGTATAATGTATTCTGAAAGAGACAGAAGGATACAACAAAGTGATGAGTAACAGAAAGGGAAAATAGCCAAGTAAGGAACTTCACTTCAAACCATAACAACGTTATATTTCCTGATCTGCTTAGAACTCTAAATATGATTTGATGATTTTTGGACCAACACCCAGAATGCTTTATTGTCTGTGGACACTGCCCCCTTCGCTCCACTCCCTTATTTTTCAGTTCCCACTTACCTTAACCACTGGGTTGTCCTCACAAACATACTACCACACCCAGCGAATCCAGCATTGTCCTGCTATGATCCTCCAAGCCTCTGCTGCAGGTTGGGTCCTGTGATGCCATCTTGCTCTAGGACATGGTAGGAAGCTATCTGTCTCTTCCTGGTTTAGGCAACCGACTCCCCGATTATGCGTTGCACATCTGCCCTCCTCCAGCTGCACATCTGCCGTCCTCTGTCCAATGTGTTGAAGCTGATGCCTCCTTGTATATGCAAAATGCACATTCCAGGAGACTCCATGTGGTCCAGGAGAAGCAGAGGACAGGTCATTTTCACCTAGGCAAGAATGGCAGCTGGGCAGCAACCCATAAAAATAAAGAAAAAGGGTAAAAAAAAAAAAACTACACTGCTTTTGAAGTTTGTGGAGGGGAGAGGGTGGTGATGGTCCACACTGAGTCATGTAGAGACATCTTGGGGTTTATTTACTAAAGCTGGAGAGTCCAAAATCAGACTCCCTTCTGCATAGAAACCAATCAGCTTCCAGGTTTCATTGCCAAAGCTTCATTGAACAAGCTGAGGTTAGAAGCTGATTGGTTTCTATGCAGAAGGGAGTCTGATTTTGGACTCTCCAGCTTTAGTAAATAAACCCCCTTGTGTCTGGGCCTGCCTTCTCCACTGACAGGAAAACTCCTATGAGAGGAGCAAGGCCTTTTTTATTATTATTTTTCACATTAAATGTTCCCAGTCATGATATAAAAAAAGTGTCCCACACAGGATCGAATAATAAAAAAGACTGTCTCCCATAAAATCACATTGAGACTACGTGGTCAATAGACCAGCCTTTCTCAACCTTGTCAACACAGAGGAACCCATGAAATAACTTTCCAGTCCCAGGGAACCCCTGCTAAAAATGACTATATCTACATCTTGTGGCACATTAGTGTGATGGTCAGTGGGAAGAATGCTCCTTACACTTGTGGTTATTGGGAAGAATTGGCCCCTTACAGATAGCTACAGAGATCAATAGTGTCAGTGGGAACTTATCTAAGAGGGAGAAGTTGCTCAATGCTCAAGGAACCCCTAGCAACCTCTGCAGGAACCCCGATGTAGACAAATAACTTTTTTTATGAAGATCTTCTTGATTCCTGATGTATAAAACTAAAATGAGAATAAAATGTATAAATAATCAGTTCTTTAAATTATATTTCTTTTACGCAGTTTGTCTTGCCCACGGTTTGTCATACGGAATGGAGCTTGTGAAATGTCAATAGGGCCTGCCCAGTCTACACAGTAAAACACAAATTCCTTAAAGTCCCTTTTTTTCTTGTTCCACAAACTATATAAAATATAATTGGGAATGCAATACAGGTTCCCTGCTTAGCTTCTCAGCACACTGGAATCCACAAAATCTGGGGTGATCCAACAGGCACCTCAACTATCACCAAAAACTTGAAGTGTTTTCCCACCTCCAGGTAATCATTATTGAACAACTGTCGGGGTCTGTCACTTAGGACAACCAAACCGGGGTTACAGGACACAATCCTCAATTCTATCACAGAAAGTTAAGATTTGCATATCAAAGCACTCGGGCAATTGGGTTTCCTGGGGGTAAAAGAGGTCATGGGCTCCTGAACCTCACACCTGATGTTTATATATATCATCTGCGGAAAGGAAAGGGTCACTTTGTAGGTTTAATAAAAACGTCCCAAAATGTAAAAAAAAGATACCTTGTCCAAGTTTAATATTTTTCGGAACTCCGTGCTACGTATAAGAATGGTGACTCGGATTTTCTCCTCCTAGAGCCAAAATGAAAGAAAATTGTTAAAGGAATTCTTCACCCCTACGTGTTACATGAGTTTTAAACAAATAAAATGACTCAGATAGGAGTTTAAACATTGCGTATGTCTTTGTACCTTAAAAGGATGAACTATATATACAGTCAGGTCCATAAATATTGGGACATCGACACAACTCTAACATTTTTGGCTCTTTGACAGCGTGCGTTCCAGCGTGCACTCCAGTGGTCCCAGAAGAGTGGTGGCCATCATTATATTTCATCCCCAGCTCCCCTGCAGCTGCTGACCGGCACAGCAGGTTGCCACACAGTGGATAGAGCCCCGCACTATGCCGGATTACTTAGAGCCTGTTATCACTGCCACCCTGTAAGTGTTTTTAACTGTTCTTATTAAAACAATCTTGGATATACTACACTTAGAAGTGCCGTCCAGTCTCATCTCTTACCTCCTTTTCTGGCAGTACCCCACTGATGATGTCACCTTCTCCCTCCTCCGGGTGTCTCCTTAGCAAGCCGGCTGCTAAGGAGGCACCCTCGTGTGCACACTCCTGAGCCGGTCTGTGTGTGCCAAAAGACTCACATAGCACTGGTAAGCCACGCCCCCGCTCTCTCTTCCTTCCTCCTATAGCTCCCACTGCTCTCAGCGTCCCCTGTGAGATCAGGAAGTGAGGGGATCGATGCTGCAGCCTAGACAAAACTGGAGCGGTGACAGGAGCCAGGTAAGTATATAGAGATATGGGTGGGTAAGATAGGTTGTGGGGCATTTTTTAACCTTTATACAGTGACCGCATTGAGGTAAAAAAAACTTTTGACTTTAGAACTACTTTAAGTGCTAGGTTAAACGGTAGGCTGAGATAGGGAGAGAGGGGGGAAAAGAGAGTAGGGAGGAGAGAGAGGGATAGGGAGGGAGAGAGAGGGAGAGAGAGGGAGAGGAGAGAGAGAGAGGGAGAGAGAGGGGAGGGAGGGAGAGAGAGAGAGGGATAGGGAGGGAGGGAGAGAGAGGGAGAGGGAGGGAGGGAGAGAGAGGAGAGGGAGGGAGAGAGAGGGAGAGGGAGGGAGAGAGAGAGAGAGGGAGGGAGAGAGAGGGAGAGGGAGGAGAGGGAGAGAGAGGGAGAGAGAGGGAGAGAGAGAGGGAGAGGGAGAGAGAGGGAGAGAGAGAGAGAGGGATAGAGAGGGATAGGGAGGGAGGAGAGAGAGAGGGATAGGGAGGGAGGGATAGAGAGGGATAGGGAGGGAGAGAGAGGGATAGGGAGGGAGGGGGAGAGAGAGGAGAGGGAGGGAGGGAGAGAGAGGGAGAGGGAGGAGAGGGGAGAGGGAGGGAGAGAGAGGGAGAGAGAGGGAGAGAGGGGAGAGGAGGGAGAGAGGGGGAGAGGGAGGAGAGAGAGGGGGGAGGGGAGAGAGAGGGGAGGAGGAGGGGGAGAGAGAGAGAGGAGGGATAGGGAGGGGAGGAGAGAGAGAGAGAGGGAGAGAGGGAGGGAGAGAGAGGGAGAGGGAGGGGGAGAGGAGAGAGAGAGAGGGAGGGAGAGAGAGGGAGAGGGAGGGAGAGAGGAGGGAGAGGGAGGGAGAGAGAGGGAGAGGGAGGGGGAGAGAGGGAGGGAGGGGGGAGAGAGGGGGGGGAGGGAGAGGGGGGGGGAGAGGGAGGAGGGAGGGGAGAGAGGGAGGGAGAGAGGGGGGAGGGGGATAGAGGGAGAGGAGAGAGGGGGGAGAGGAGAGAGAGGGGGGGAGGGGATAGAGGGGAGAGGAGAGAGAGGAGAGAGAGGGAGGGAGAGTGGGGAGGGAGAGAGGAGAGAGAGGAGGGAGAGGGAGGGGAGAGAGGGAGAGAGAGAGAGAGGAGAGAGGGGGGGGGGGGGGGGGAGAGGGGGAGAGAGGGGGAGGGAGAGAGAGAGGGAGGGAGAGGGAGAGAGGGGGGGGGGAGAGAGGGGAGGGAGAGAGGGAGAGAGGGAGAGGGGAGAGAGAGAGGGGAGAGAGAGGGGGAGAGAGGGGGGGAGAGAGGGGGGGAGGGGGAGGAGGGGGGGAGGGGGGGAGAGGGGGAGGGGGGGAGGGAGAGAGAGGGGGGGGGAGAACATATTTTGGATAGAGTAAGGAAAGTTTGAACTGCTTGGTCTGCTTTTTATTGCGGTCTGTTTCCCCTCAGAAGATCTGCCCTCTCTATTTGTTTTTTCAATGACACGAGTGATGAGACATCCACACTTTTACAGTAGTCTACCTCCTTCAAAGGATAAGCAGGATATGCCTGATGGTAGACTTCAATGAAGAAAAAAGCTTCACGTATTTATCGTTTTTCCAATGTCCTATAATTGTTAGACTCATGATTTTATCAGGCACATTCAAATTACATTGTTTTGTTGTAGCACTGATGAAGGAGGGGTTTCTTTGACCCCGAAACACATTGGCTGTTTTTAGTACAAACTAATAAATGACTTTGGACTGTTGTCCTTTGGCCTGTCACTCCTTTCATTTGTGCATGTTTTTTTTTCCTGCTAAGCCAGATGATATCATACATAATAATCACTATTTTATTTGGAAGATTTAAATTTCAAAAGCTACTCACCTAAACAACTTTTTGGCTTTTCTATTCATCACTGTATATCTCTGGGTTTTTTTAAGTGGTTGTAAACCCTGACATATACCCAGTGAAGTGACTTGCCTCAGGTGATACACAAGAGATGAAACAAATCCTTCTTCATAATTTGTATTAATATGTACTGGTTTATCTGCAGTCTGTTTAAAGTCCAGAATTTACAAAGTTTGTCTGAGATGTCAGAAAAAGGGAGTGGAGAGCTGAAATTACACACTGCAGAACTCAGTGAGAAGAGGTGAAAGCTGATTAAAGAGAAGGGAGATATCCTCCTTCATACAGCACACAGAATCAGAGCTGAGGCTGTCAATCACAAGCTGGAGCTCCATCCCGTCACCATTTTTCTGTTGGTGTCAGGAAAACTTGTCAGAAGTTACTCATGCTGAAAGCAAAGGAACGGAACAGGAGACAGAAATGACACTTAATGCTCAGGACTGAGACAAGTACACACCAAAGAGGGATATGCTTTGTACATATTTCATGTCTGAGGTTTACAACCACTTTAAAGAAAGGAACTAAGTATATTACCTGTACTCCCATGAATAAATGTATGGGCCTATATTATACTGCAGAAAGAAACTGGTGACTGAACCGGCTTTAAAAAGCAGTAGCTATCTCTTGAAAGATCCATGGTCAGAAACAGCACTCTGCCACGGATTTATGTCGCACCTTTAACGTTTCTTGGGAGATCTTCAGCCGGTGAAGCACATGTTGGGAAAAGGCTCGGAACAATCCGGTGCTGTGGCAATGAGAAATCTGGAAAAACAAAACCCGTCCAGATTTACGGCAGTTATAAAGCGTGAAATCTCCAGTCTTCAAATAATATTCCGCTGTCATCTTTCATGTCTGGGGATAACGAGCTTACCAGAGGCGTGTTGTAAAACAGCCCATATCTCATCCTGGGGAGTAGTGCGAACACGGCATCCTTGAAACAGACCTACAACACAAGATATGAACGGGTTATCTTTGTGTTTATTTAACATACACCAGAAACGTCACCCCAGTGAAATATTACATTCTTGTATGTACTTCTTTTTATGCTACAAAGTGTAATGTTTTCTTAAAGCTGAGCTTCGGCAGATACTAAAAATAAACCAATGAATGCAGTTATGTATGTAATAAAAAAAAAAAAAAACTATGACATGTATTTTGTCTGCAGTATCTAAAGCTGGACATACATTATACAACTTTCCTACAAGTTTCTGTATAATTTCTGTACAATTTCCTTTAGATTTATCTAAAATTACTTTAAAATTGTACAAGAAAACTGTATAATGTGTACTATATATATATTATACACACACAGTTGTGTTAAAAATAATAGCAGTCAGACATCACTAACCTGATCAATCACTGTTTTTGGTAGAAATGATATTTGTACATGGCAAATAATTTTACTAGCAGGTGTAGTAGAGTTATAGAAATCCAACAGACCCAACAGTCATGACATGCATGCTGCTGATTCTGTGTAATTGAATCACTAATTGAAAGGGGCATGTTCAAAATAATAGCAGTGTGGAGTTCTATTAGTGAGGTCATTCATTCTTTGAAAAACAGGTTGCAATTATTGCCCTTATTTAAAGGAAGGAAGGAGGCAGCAAATGTTGTACATGCTGGTTACAGTGCATTTCTCTCTGAAATTTTGAGGAAAATTGGTCGTTCCAGACATTGCTCAGAAGAACAGCGTACCTTGATTAAAAAGTTGATTAGAGAGGGGAAAAACATATAAAGAAGTGCAGAAAATGATCGGCTGCTCAGCTAAAATGATCGCAAATGCTTTAAAATGGCAACCAAAACCTGAAAGACGTGGAAGAAAGCGAAAAACTACCATTCGAATGGATAGAAGAATAGCCAAAATGGCAAGGACTCAGCCAACAATCAGCTCCAGGAAGATCAAAGAAGGTCTAAAGTTCCCTGTGAGGACTGTTACAATTAGAAGACGCCTATGTGAAGCCAAGCTATCTGCAAGAAGCCCCCGCAAAGTCCCACTGTGGAAAAAAAGACATGTGCTGAAGAGGTTACAATTTGCCAAAGAGCACATTGACTGGCCTAAAGAGAAATGGCGCAACATTTTGTGGACTGATGAAAGTAAGATTGTTCTTTTTGGGTCTAGTGGCCGGAGACAGTTTGTCAGACGACCCCCAAACACTGAATTCAAGCCACAGTACACTGTGAAGACAGTGAAGCATGGTGGTGCAAGCATCATGATATGGGGATGTTTCTCATACTACGGTGTTGGGCCTATTTATCGCATACCAGGGATCATGGATCAGTTTGAATACATCAGAATACTTGAAGAGGTCATGCTGCCTTATGCTGAAGAGGAAATGCCCTTGAAATGGGTGTTCCAACAAGGCAGGCAACGACCCCAAACACACCAGTAAACGTGCAACATCTTGGTTCCAGGCCAACAAGATCGATGTTATGGAGTGGCCAGCCCAATCCCCGGATCTTAATCCAATAGAAAACTTGCGGGGTGACATCAAAAATGCAGTTTCTGAGGCAAAACCAAGAAATAGAGAAGAACTGTGGAATGTAGTCCAATCATCCTGGGCTGGAATACCTGTTCACAGGGGCCAGAAGTTGGTGACTCCATGCAACACAGATGTACAGCAGTTCTCAGAAACAGTGCTTATACAACAAATATTCATTAAGTGATTCAAAGGAAAGCAAAATCTTCAAACATTTTTCAGTTTATATAGTGAATGTTTGAGTTTGTAAAGAAGAATACAAACACTGCTATTTTTTTGAACAGTCTAATATTCACTTTTCTTCAATTTTTTTAGATGAAAAACACAAATTTGATCTATTTTTCTTCATGGTTTTGATTTGGAATAGAATGTGTCGTGTTCCCAATGCATTTGTGTGTATGGAAATAAAAGCTATTAGAAGGATTTTGAGCTTTATTCACTTTTTTCAACACACTGCTATTATTTTGAACACAACTGTATATATATATACACACACACATATACAACACACACACACACACACCAGCCTAAATCTGAGCTGAAATCAGTTTCTTGTCAAGCCCAGAACAGAATAGCAGCACTCAGACTGGGAGAGGGTGAACTTTCAGCAAGTCAGGTGTCTTTCATTCACATATCCCAAGAGAGCAGTTGAATGACCTCATCAGTTTGTTGCTAAACTTTTCGTTTACCGTTTTGGAATCGTACGCCTTCAAGTGGATGACTTCCTGGTCAGTGAATGCTTTCCATGTCTCACTGAACAAATCGCCATAGCCATAGAAACTCTGCAATCAGGAGAAAATAATATTCATACTTATACAGCTGGATTGTGTTTTAAACTTTACTTGAGACAAAAAAAAAAAAACTTTCATTTAAATATATTACACAATGGCCCCAATGGATGTAAATATACTTTATGTGCGCCAAATGCAAAACAAAAACCCAGGTATTACCTTGTAAAGTAGCAGTGACATCACTGTGCTTTATATATAGCCAGTACAGAGAGCAGATCTATGGGAGGGACCCTGCAGGCTCCACATACTACAGGCTGCCCGCAGAAAACTACAGGAGGGGGCAGAGACAAGACCAGTCACCCTTCACAAGGACAGAGAGCAGAAGTAAGTGGTCTTTATTACAGGAAGCTCCTGCACAGAGGAAAAGTGCAGAAATGGTTTCCTGTGCTGCTGTATTACAGGAACAAATATTACAAAGCACGTCAAGATTCAAGCAAGACTACATGTGGGTCTTGTAGTTTATTATTGAGCCAGAACTTCAACTTTGAAGTAACTAAAATCAAAGCACATACCATAAACATTACAATCTGAGCATACAATCTTTATACAATCAACCACAGATTCATCAAAACTAAGTAATAGGAGGACCCATCTGATCTATCCAATCAATTAGTATCCAACCAGACAGACCCTCACACTGCATAGCTGTTGGTAGATCTAAAGATAAATTATACAATCAGATTGGGACGTGTGTGGTGAGCAAAGTACTCGGGCAGACATTTTCTTTAAGCCACAGCCCTGGAGCTAGCATAATGTAAATGAGTAGGCATGTTTTGCCCTGTAGGGAGAACATACATAGGTTCACACCTATGCAGTTTGCGTTTGATCCATTTCTGCACTGCTTTTTGCGGTGCAGTTTTTTGCACATGCATTTTTATGGGGGTTTTTTTTCGCCAATTTGTTGTTGGGCAGATTACAAATGCAAAATGCATCAAAAACATACTACACGCATTTCTGCACTGTCCCCATTGAAGTCTATTGAACCAAAACGCAATGTAAGACAGTTCCTGACGATTTCCAAAAATCATACCGGGTGAAGACGTGGAGATGTGAAAGTGTCCTATAGGAAATAATGTGAAATGGCCTGTACTGTGTTTCTGCAAAACACTTAGGTGTGAACCTAGTCGTAATCAGTTACATTCATTCCTCCTGATTCTGCTCCTGCACTTCTTTATATTGTCAGTGTTTTCTGCCCAGTTTAGAAAAATCATCACATTGTCCTATAAGCATTTCTCCTCTCCGGAGGTTGATGTGAGCTGTAATGTGCATTACATTTTTTGATTTAAAAAAAAGTGTAGGATGTATTTATTTATTTATTTCAGGTACTTATATAGCGCCATCAATTTACACAGCACTTTACATATATATTGTACATTCACATCAGTCCCTAACCCTCAAGGGGTGTACAATCTCAGGTCCCTAACTTACATTCATACATACACATAGTAGAGACAATTTACCTACCAACATGTCTTTGGAGTGTGGGAGGAAACCAGAGTACCCGGAGGAAACCCACGCAGACACAGGGAGAGCATGCAAACTCCAGGCAGGTGGTGTCGTGGTTGGGATTTGAACCAACAACCCTAGTACTGCCAGGCAGAAGTGCTAACCATTTAGCCACTGTGCTGCCTATTTAGCCACTGTGCTGCCCATTTAGCCACTGTGCTGCCCATTTAGCCACTGTGCTGCCCATTTAGCCACTGTGCTGCCCATTTAGCCACTGCTGCCCAGGATGTTAATATGTACAGACAAGACAAGCACAGAGCTTGACATACAATTTATAATTAAAGTGTTACTAAACCCATGACCAGGGGCAGACTGAAAACTCATGGGGCCCCTGGGCAATAGGAAATCATGGGGCCCCTTTGTCCTTGCCCACACTCAAACCACACCAAAAAAAGCCTATGAAAAGGTACCAGGGGAATCTCATTGGGCCCCCTTACTGACCCCGGGCCCTTGGGCAGTGTCAGAGTTCCTAAATGGTCAGTCCGCCCCTGCCCATGACCCTGCATTCACTATATCCGGTCTCCCACAGTACTCACAACATGGAAATGCAATTATTTTAGTAAATATAAACTGCTCAATACCTTTTCTCATCAGCAGTATATAGCAGTCTTGTGACTTCTATCAGTGTCCAGCTGAGCACTGCTTACAGTTTTCATTTGGCTCTGCTTGTCTTGTGAAGCTGCATAACCCCTGACCCTCTGTCTGGACAGTGCTGATTGGTCCTGTGCTGATCACATGCACCCTCCCAAAGAAAAAAAAAAAAACTCTCTAGCAATACACACTAAAATGAGCATGTGCAGAGTGCCTCCGAGAGCTCTGTACTATCAGCAGATGGATCAGGGACAGTAGAAGAAGGGGAAGATCAGAGAAGACCGGATCAAACAGCCATTTTACACAATGCGGAGGATTAACCCCTTAGGTTCCATACGAGTATAACAAGCATGCTTTACTGCATATACAGACTGATTTTTCCGTTGTGGGTTTAGTAAGATTTTAAAATTGAAAAAATGAAGATAGCACAACACATTTTCAAATATATATTTGGTTTAAAATAATAATGAAAAAAAAATCAGTACATCTGCCATACAAGTATAAGTACAGAAAGTAACCTATTATCTGCCAGAAATCCAGTGTGCGATGACAGCACGCACTGAAATCCCAACCAGCGTGGTCAGCCCTGCTGGACTGCAGAACACTTCCCCCTCTGTTATAGAGATGAAGGAGAGGGGTAGATGTTCTGCAGTCTAGCAGGGAAGAACACAATCAGAGCTGACAACACTGGTTGGGATTTCAGCGCAGTAGAGGCAGTGCTGTCATCTCAAACAGGGAGTTAGGAACTCATCATGTTTCTGGCAGGATCAACATATCTCTTTCTATACTTTTAAAGGGATACAAAATGGGGGAATGTGCATGTACTGCAAGAATGCACCGCAAATGGGTTTGTTTGGTTTTTTTTTTTTAACTATTCTACTTTTAACTAAAGTGACATAAAGCTGTATTAAACCGGAAAAAAGAAAAATGTAATACATTGGAGCTTACCAATCATTAGATGTGGTGGCTGCATTTGTTTTCTATTTTAGTCTTTTTTCTCTCTGTTTTCACCTGGTGATCAGGACAGTAACACACTTCCTGTATTAGAGCGCCCCCACTCTGGATGGAGCGATAGAGACACCTTTGTATTTCAATGCTTTTTATTAATTCATAAACATTTCCAGAAACCGCGAGCAACAAGACACGCCCACGCAGGGACTATCAATGGCACATGAAAAATAAAGAAAACAGTGCGAAAGGTGCGCCCACGCAGGAGCCATCAATGGCACATAGATTACAAAAGCAGTGATAGAACACTGACAGTAGCTCAAAGACAGCTATCCACCAACTCACAAAAAACAAACATAAATAGAGAGGAAAGAGGAGTAGAAAAAGGAAGAAGACAAGACCAGGAGCAGGGGTCCGGGAACGCCAATACCGAACAACATGCAAGAGACAGGAAGCAAGAAAAAAAATATTCTGAACCAATGGACTGCAGACATAGTACAGGAGATGACCAGAGACTGCAGACATAGTACAAGAGATGACCAGAGACTGCAGACATAGTACAAGAGATGACCAGAGACTGCAGACACAGTACAAGAGATGACCAGAGACTGCAGACATAGTACAGGAGATGACCAGAGACTGCAGACATAGTACAAGAGATGACCAGAGACTGCGGACATAGTACAAGAGATCACCAGAGACTGCAGACATAGTACAAGAGATGACAAGAGACTGCGGACATAGTACAAGAGATGACCAGAGACTGCGGACAGTACAGGAGATGACTAAGAGACTGCAGAAAGTACAGTAGATGACCAGAGACTGCGGACACAGTACAGGAGATGACTAAGAGACTGCAGAAAGTACAGTAGACGACCAGAGACTGCGGACACAGTACAGGAGATGACCAGAGACTGCGGACACAGTACAGGAGATGACCAGAGACTGCTGACAGTACAGGAGATGACCAGAGACTGCGGACACAGTACAGGGGATGACCAGAGACTGCGGACACAGTACAGGGGATGACCAGAGACTGCGGACACAGTACAGGGGATGACCAGAGACTGCGGACACAGTACAGGAGATGACCAGAGACTGCGGACACCGTACAGGAGATGACCAGAGACTGCAGACATTGTACAGGAGATGACCAGAGACTGCAGACAGTACAGGGGATGACTAGAGACTGCAGACATTGTACAGGAGATGACCAGAGACTGCAGACAGTACAGGGGATGACTAAGAGACTGCTGACCTTTGGGGAGGGAGGGGAGGGGGAGCGGGTACCTGAATTTGACAGGTACCCACTCCCACTTCCGCGGAGTTGTCCTCCCTTTAGTGTGGGCACCCGGCTAACAGCCGGGTGCCCAGTGCGCATGCGCGAGAAGCGCTGCGCTTTGTGATTGGTCCAACGCCTTCTGGGACCTGTCATGTGTCTCAGAAGACACCGTACCATTCACAAAGTGCAGCGCTTCTCACGCATGCGCACTGGGCACCTGGCTGTCAAGCCGAGATCCTACACTAAAAAAAGGCAGCGCGGGGAAGACTGCACAGCGCGGGACCAAGGAACAGGTAAGGTCCTGCTGCAGAGCTGAGTGGCCGGCCTGATATTCTGACACAGAAATACCGGACCGGCCGCTCCATATTCGCTCCATAAGACGCACTGACACTTTCCCCCCTTTTTTGGGGGAAAAAGTGCGTCTTATGGAGCGAAAAATACGGTATATAGAAACTGATCATTGTAAGCACCCGTCAGTGATAAATGGTTTTTCTCAACCAACTGCTACATCTGCAGGACAGCGTGTTCTGTTAAAAAACAACAAAAATAAGAGAAAGCCTAAAAAAAGAAAACAAACGCCTTCCTCTGGATCAACAGTGGGTTTAGGATTAGGACTTTTTTTTTTAATGGTTGACATGGATGGACTTTTGTCTTTTTTCAGCCAGACTAACTATGTAATGCAGCCACCACATCTAAGGATCGGTAAATTGCAATGTAATAAAAGTTTGCATTTGGATTTAATATCACTTTATCTCTATTGGCTGATCCTTTCTAAGCTGGATATTGCTTTAGAGTGAGTAAAAAAGTTCTCGCCTGCCGGCTGCGAGAGGTAAGAGACCTATCTATATGTGATGCGCTCTTATTATCGCAGGCAATACAATTAATTATCATAACAAACAGATGACAGATGTGGAAATGTGACAGCGCATTAAACTGCCTGAGCGGGAGAAGATCAGTTCTGAAGCGGTGTGGCAGCTCGAACAAAGCGGCGTGCTGCTTGTATAGGAGTGGGAGTTGATGGCCATTAGCGGATGACAATAGCTTGCTCCGTTGCTATAGTGGTCATTGTATCTCCCACACAACAGCCAGTCAGGATGCAGACCGGCTACACACCTCAATAATTCAGGAGATTGCAGCCCAGTGTAAATCACAATCAGTCCTTTTGATACAATCTGGCATGGAACCCAACAGGTTGAGTGGGAGGATATCCTTCCTCGTCACTGAACCGACTGGCTGCCGGTGATAAGATCCCTCTATATCCTGCCGGTCCTCCCCCCACCCGCACACCGGTTCCCAAGAGACTCACTGCGAGCCTTGGTAATAAAAGCAAACGGGGGCTGAAAAAAAATATTTTTAGCCCTATTATTTGGTATGACCACTATACTCGTAAATTAAATGTGACATTTATTTCTGTTTAGGTCTCAGAAGGACCCAACAACAAAAAAAAAAAGTAAATGTTCACCGTTTTGTGTATGAGTAAAAATAATCACTAAATTCACATAGAAACTTTCATTTTTATTTGATATCAAGTTATTTTTCATCTTAAACTCTGCAGGTTTCATTAAAATAGTAATGCTAATCTGGCCATGATGGTCCTTTTTCAGCCAGTTCCTGTTATAGGGTGACAACACTCTGTCCCTGTCTCCCAGTTGTGCTTCTGTGTTGTCACCCTTTCACATACTCCCTGATGGGCAATATGAGCCTTCATGCTAACACATGTGTGTATATGTATATATATATATATATATATATATATATATATATATATTATATATATATATTATATATATATATATATATATATATATATATATATACATACATACAACACATGTTTATTCCCTTTGTGTGTATTGGGACAAAACAAAAAAAGGGAGGAAAGAAAGCAAATTCGACATAATGTCACACAAACCTCCAAAAATGGGCTGGACAAAAGTATTGGCACCCTTTCACAACTGCGGATAAATAAGAATGTTACAAGCATGTGATGCTCCTGTAAACTCACCTGGGGCAAGTAACAGGTGTGGGCAATATAGAAATCACACCTGAAAGCAGATAAAAAAAGGAGAGACGTTCACTTAACCTTTGCATTGTGTGTCTGTCTGTGCCACACTAAGCATGGACAACAGAAAGAGGAGACGAGAACTGTCTGAGGACCTGAGAACCAAAATTGTGGCAAAATATCAACAATCTCAAGGTTACAAGTCCATCTCCAGAGAACTAGATTTGCCTTTGTCCACAGTGCGCAACATTATCAAGAAGTTTGCAACCCATGGCACTGTAGCTAATCTCCCTGGTCGTGGACGGATGAGGAAAATTGATGAAAGATTGCAACGCAGAATAGTCCGGATGGTGGATAAGCAGCCCCAAACATGTTCCAAAGACATTCAAGCTGTCCTGCAGGCTCAGGGAGCATCAGTGTCAGCGCGAACTATCCGTCGACATTTAAATGAAATGAAACGCTATGGCAGGAGACCCAGGAGGACCCCACTGCTGACACAGAGACATAAAAAAGCAAGACTACAGTTTGCCAAAATGTACTTGAGTAAGCCAAAAGCCTTCTGGGAAAACGTCTTGTGGACAGATGAGACCAAGATAGAGCTTTTCGGTAAGCACATCATTCTACTGTTTACCGAAAACGGAATGATGAGGCCTACAAAGAACAAAACACAGTACCTACGGTAAAATATGGTGGAGGTTCAATGATGTTTTGGGGTTGTTTTGCTGCCTCTGGCACTGGGTGCCTTGACTGTGTGCAAGGCATCATGAAATCTGAGGATTACCAAAGGATTTTGGGTCGCACTGTAGGGCCCAGTGTCAGAAAGCTGGGTTTGCGTCCAAGATCCTGGGTCTTCCAGCAGGACAATGACCCCAAACATACGTCAAAAAGCACTCAGAAATGGATGGCAAAGAAGCGCTGGAGAGTTCTGAAGTGGCCAGCAATGAGCCCAGATCTAAATCCCATTGAACACCTGTGGAGAGATCTTAAAATTGCTGTTGGGAAAAGGTGTCCTTCCAATAAGAGAGACCTGGAGCTGTTTGCAAAGGAAGAGTGGTCCAAAATTCCGGGTGAGAGGTGTCAGAAGCTTATTGATGGTTATAGGAAGCGACTGATTTCAGTTATGTTTTCCAAAGGGTGTGCAACCAAATATTAAGTTAAGGGTGCCAATACTTTTGTCCAGCCCATTTTTGGGGTTTTGTGTGACATTATGTCATATTTGCTTTTCTGCCTCTGTTTTATATTTGTTCCAATACATACAAAGGGAATAAACATGTGTATAGCAAAACATGTGTTAATGCAATACCTTTTTTGTGTGAAATACTTGATTTTCAGGAAAAATATCAAGGGTGCCAACAATTTCGGAGTAGCATTTTAGTAGTGTTCAGGAGCGTTAGCTTTTTATTAGCATTTTTACAGTACACGAAGAGAAAAAAAAAAATTAGAAAAAGCTGTTAGGAGCACTTTAGTAGCATTTTTTTCTGCTGGAAAAATGCTCCAAAAAAAACACTACAAAAACTATTTTTTTTCTGCTTCTAGATGCTGAAGCTCAGAAACTGCTAATAGCCTAAACTAGTGTGCATGAATATATAGGATAACACTATTTTGCTTCTGTATCAGAAAAAAGTATGCTGATAATAGCTTCTAGGAGCTTAAAAAATGCTATTGTGCATGGAGCCTTAGGCTCCATGCACACTAGTGGCTTTTTTTAGCTCAAAAACCGCTGGAAAAAATGCTGGTAATAGCAATTCTCAGTAGCGTTTTAGTAGCATTTTAGCAGTGTTTAGAAGTGTTTAGGAGAGTTAGCATTTTTTTTGATGTTTTTACAGTACATGTAGAAAAAAAAAGCTGTTATTACTGCTTTAGTAACGTTTAGTGTTTTTTTTTTTTTTTCTTCTGGAAAAAAAAAAACAAAAAAAAAAAAAAAAAAACTACAAAAACAATTTTTTTTTCTGCTCCTAGATGCTGAAGCTCAATGGAGCCTTAATGCGCTGCCTTCTTGCACTGGAAGACTGAAATTTTTTTTTTTTTGTGCCGCCATCTTGGAATCAGGGGGTGACTGTCATTGCCTGATCACTTAGTCCTCATGCACACTGGACATTTTGATAACGCTGGTAATGTTACCTGTGTAAAGTCATGTCAAAAAACCCAAGTTTTTCAGCTTTTTTTTAGTGTTTTTGCATTAGCGTTTAGCTGCGTTTTCCTGCGTTTGCATTTTTTACTGTTTTGGTTTTTTTTAAAGTCCAAAATGCAGGTTTGTGGCATTTTTCACCGCATTTTTCAGCGTTCGAGCTTTTTTACAGCTAAAAAAAAAGTCCTCTAGAAACCCACTAGTCCTGGTTTTTTCCAGCCAAAAAACATTGATTACAGTCTATGTGCATGGACACATAGGATAACATGCTGGGGGGGGTTCACTGGCTGTAGGAAAAAAAAAAACATCAAAAGCCAAACAAAAAAAAACAGCCGCTGTAAAAACGTCCCGTGTGCATGAGGACTAAATCAGCCCGTGTGGAGGAGCACCACCGTGCAGGCAGAGATATACTGTCTTGCCTTATGGGATGTGTGACATGCAGCATGTGTGTTTGTGGATAGGGGGGAGATGGGTATTGTCAGACCAAGGGTACATTGTCCTTTTGCTTAGGTGAGGAATGAGGAATTGAAAGTAACAGGAGTAAAAAAAATCTTGCAGCAAACAGCAAAAAAACAGCAAAAAAAAAAAAAAAAAAAAAAAAAAAAAACGAATGCAAATGTGTAACAAGAGAGAAAGAATGATGCCAAGCAAAGTATCTGAGTAGAGGTCCACTTTAACCGAGCACATGACCCCAATGCACTGTCAGGAAAGCAGCCCCGTTCATGGATTTAAAAAGGGGCTCATTTACAGTGAAGGAAATAAGTATTTGATCCCCTGCTGTTGTCACCTTCTCACCAAGCTGCTTGGCGATAGTTTGGTAGCCCAATCCAGCCTTGTGTAGGTCTAAAATCTTGTGCAAGGATGGACAGCTCTTTGGTCTTTGCCATTCTGGAGAGTTTGGAATCTGATTGTTTGATCGTTCCTATGGACAGGTGTCATTTATACAGGTAACAAAATGAGATTAGCAGCACTCCCTTTAAGAGACTGCTTCTAATCTCAGCTTGTTACCTGTATGAAAGACACCTGATAGCCAGAAATCCTTCTGAATGATATGGATCAAATACTTATTTCCCTCATGAACATGCAAATCAGTGCATAATTTGTTAGACATGCATTTCTTTTGAATTTTTTGTTGCTATTCTGTCTCAGTGTTACAATACACTGAACATTCGATTTTTAGACTGATCATTTCTTTGTCAGCAGGGGGATCAAATACTTATTTCCTTCACTGTATAACCGATGTTATGTTTCACAGAACTATTGTCATTAAACAATCGCGGTGCGCAGCGTGCAGGCTACAGTATCCTGCGGAATTCTCCTAACGCAGCAGATAAAAGTCCATGACTACAGAAGAGCAGGTTATGTGACTGACAGGTCATGTGATCTGACTTTCCATCCAGATTTACGTCATTTAATAACTTCCTGTTCATTTTTCTTGCATTCTGCGGCAGACTCCTGAGGCCAGAGAGCACAATGTACACCTATAACGCATACTGCTGTCCTTTCTAAATATGCACCCATAATCCTGCTTTTCAAATAGACCCCCCCCCCTTGCACACACCCCCCCCCCCCCTTGCACACACACCCTTCCTTAATGTGGTTGTAAACTCTTACATATTCCCAGTCAAGTGACTGACCTCAGGTGATATCCAGAGATGAATCTAATCCTCCTACACAAGTTGTACCTGTTTATCTGCAGTCCTCTCTTTACAGCCATTCCAAGTGCTGGATATATAAAGCTTGTTTGAGCTTTCAAAGTAGAGAACTGAAAATACACACTGCAGAGATCATTGAGAAAAGGTTTGAGAGCTGATTGGAGGGAAGGGACACCCCCCTTCACGCAGTACAGTACACAGGAACAATGCTGAGGCTGTCAATTTGCTGGAGCTCCCTCCCGTCACCCTTTTTCTCTTGGTGTCAGAAAACATGTCAGAAGTGATTCATGCAGATAGCAGAGGAACTAGGCAGCAGACAGAAATGACAGTGCTCTGGACCAAGACAAGTACACACTATAGAGGGATATGTTTTGTTCATATTTTATGTCTGAGTTTTACAACCACTTTAACCACTTCGCGCTGGCGCCTCCTGGCCCTTTAAGAGTTTCAGAACCCGGGAGGCAGGCAAGGTTTTAGGGTCATGTGACCGCCATGATTCACTGTCACATGATCAAAAAAGATCCCGATCGAAAGGGGAGATCAGGACCTTTCCGTGAGTCATGAACATACAGTTGTGTTCAAAATAATAGCAGTCAGACATCACTAACCTGATCAATCACTGTTTTTGGTAGAAATTATATTTCTACATGGCAAATAATTTACTAGCAGGTGTAGTAGAGTAATAGAAATCCAAAAGACCCAACAGTCATGACATGCATGCTGCTGATTCTGTGTAATTGAATCACTAATTGAAAGGAGCATGTTCAAAATAATAGCAGTGTGGAGTTCTATTAGTGAGGTCATTCATTCTTTGATAAACGGGTGGCAATTATTGCCCTTATTTAAGGAAGGAAGGCAGCAAATGTTGTACATGCTGGTTACAGTGCATTTCTCTCTGAAATTCTGAGGAAAATGGGTCGTTCCAGACATTGTTCAGAAGAACAGCGTACCTTGATTAAAAAGTTGATTGGAGAGAGGAAAACATATAAAGAAGTACAGAAAATGATAGGCTGCTCAGCTAAAATGATCGCAAATGCTTTAAAAATGGCAACCAAAACCTGAAAGATGTGGAAGAAAGCGAAGAACTACCATTCGAATGGATAGAAGAATAGCCAAAATGGCAAGGACTCAGCCAACAATCAGCTCCATGAAGATCAAAGAAGGTCTAAATTCCCTGTGAGGACTGTTACAATTACAAGACGCCTATGTGAAGCCAAGCTATCTGCAAGAAGCCCCCCCCGCAAAGTCCCACTGTGGAAAAAAGACATGTGCTGAAGAGGTTACAATTTGCCAAAGAGCACATTGACTGGCCTAAAGAGAAATGTGGATTGATGAAAATAAAATTGTTCTTTTTGGGGTCTAGTGGCCGGAGACAGTTTGTCAGACGACCCCTAAACACTGAATTCAAGCCACAGTACACTGTGAAGACAGTGAAGCATGGTGGTGCAAGCATCATGATATGGGGATGTTTCTCATACTATGGTGTTGGGCCTATTTATCGCATACCAGGGATCATGGATCAGTTTGAATACATCAGAATACTTGAAGAGGTCATGCTGCCTTATGCTGAAGAGGAAATGCCCTTGAAATGGGTGTTCCAACAAGACAACGACCCCAAACACCAGTAAACGTGCAACATCTTGGTTCCAGACCAACAAGATTGACGTTATGGAGTGGCCAGCCCAATCCCCGGATCTTAATCCAATAGAAAACTTGTGGGGTGACATCAAAAATGCAGTTTCTATGGCAAAACCAAGAAATAGAGAAGAACTGTGGAATGTAGTCCAATCATCCTGGGCTGGAATACCTGTTCACAGGTGCCAGAAGTTGGGTGACTCCATGCAACACAGATGTACAGCAGTTCTCAGAAACAGTGCGACTACAACCAAATATTCATTAAGTGATTCAAAGGAAAGCAAAATCTTCAAACATTTTTCAGTTTATATAGTGAATGTTTGAGTTTGTAAAGAAGAATACAAACACTGCTATTTTTTTTGAACAGTCTAATATTCACTTTTCTTCAATTTTTTTTTAGAGGAACAACACAAATTTGATATATTTTTCTTCATGTTTTGATTTGGAATAGAATGTGTAGTGTTCCCAATGCATTTGTGTGTATGGAAATAAAAGCTATTAGAAGGATTTTCAGCTTTATTGACTTTTTTCAACACACTGCTATTATTTTGAACACAACTGTATGTGCTGGGAGCGAGCAGGGCGTGCGTTCTAAGCACATATGTATTTTATAATTGCACGCAAATATGTGGCCACTTGGCGTCAAGGTCCAGATGCTGAGAGGCCGCATATTTGCGTGCACTCAGTGTCAAGGGGTTAAGCTAGCCATAGATGGGTCTGTTTTTTTCATTCAACCAACAAAAAAAATTGACACATTCAGAGTGGATGGAGGAATCCTCCCCCACTGTGTCATTGTATTCTGACAGCAGGGAGACTTCCCCGTCATCACAATACAATGATCGAGCAGACATTTTCCAACAGGACAGCTGAACAGAAGTCAATTAGTAGATCAACTTCTGCTCAAACACAAAAGTCATATATGGATAGAAATATGGCCGGTCCCAACTGAACTGGACGAATTTCAGTCCATCTAAGGGCAGCTTTAGTGTCTAACAGTCATATACCAAACAGCTCATAATAGCAGAAAAGATCTGGATCAGGAAAAAAAAATGTAATTACTGCGTCACGACTGGGAAGATTTATCCCTTCAATTTGTCCCAGTCACCACACTTCCATAAAGGGAATTGCACTTCCATGTTCCATGAATGAAAACTCCTCCTACAACCTTTAACCAGTGCTCAGCTGGACACTGAAGGAAGTCACAAGTCTGCTATATACTGCTGATGAGAAAATGTATTTAGCAGTTTATATTTACTAAAATTGCATTTCCACTTTGTGTGTACTGTGGGAGACCAGATATAGTGAATACAGGGTCCTGGCTTTACTTTAAGTTTACCATAACCATAATTAACCATTTCTGTACTGTGCTGGCAGATTTAATTATCAGTTGTAGATTCAAACTCTGTCTGTTCTAACAAATGAGTTAAAGAGCTCGATGCTTGGGTTTTGCTTCATATGTTAATGTACTTTAAAAAAACTGTTCCTACATCTAATTAAAGGCAACAGAAAGCTGCCTATAGTGTCCTATGTATAAAACTGCTCCAAAGAAACAGCTTGAAAGGTTAGAAATAGTTTTTTCTTAGGTATGCTGTGTGAATGAAAAAAAAAAATATAGCGTTGGGGTCTCAAATTTGACTGCAAAAGTGACAATAAATATAGATTTCGCTTAGGAAATCTGCTAATTCACATTACAAAGGAGATCTGTACTATCCAAATACTGGATTGTAGAGATGGGAGATATAGCAGAATACAGACTTCCTTTATCACCCCTGGAGAATGCAAACTCTGGTGCCGCTCATTCTGATATATCACTTTGTATATTTGTTTTCCCTGAAAAAAGTCATGAATTAAAGCTACTTACCGTGTCCCACATGATTATCTGGACATCGGTACTGAATGAGTTGTTCACATGTTGTGTTATGTAAAGATTAGCAAAATCACAAAAGTGATGATACATATTTACACCTGAAAAAAAAGCATACAATATAACAGGCTGTATGTATCAACTTGTTTGCACAGTTTTTGTCACAATTTCCAATCCGGCGCATTTTGAGTCATGAAAATGGTTCTAAGCCGCATGTTGAGCCAATGTTGATGAGAGCGTGTCTTGGGAATCATTATTAAACAATGACCTCATTTCATGTCCTAAAGCAGAACTAAACTTTCTAAATCAACATTAACTATTTTTAATCCTTATGCTGCTAGCATTAGTAAATAGATAGGAATGTATATTATATTTGCTTGTTTCTTCAGTTGCTTCCTGTTTTCTGATGTAGGCCAAAACGATGTCAAAGATCCCAGGAGTCTTCATGGGGGAAGGAAGGGTTTTTTTCAGCTAAGCACACCCTCGGAGTGCATGCCTAAGCTAAGGGCAGATGGATTCAAGGAAGTAAATTGCACTTTGCAGAACGATGCCCTGTGCGGCTCTTTGCAGCAGCTGAAAGCCGGCTTCTTTCCCTCTCCCTTCCGCCAGCTGTCAGCTAGTGAAGGGAGAGACACAGACATAGAGCATCATTCTGTCCCCATGCCCTACTATACTGATCCCCATTCCTGTGCTGCCCACATCTTATTCCCCCAGTGTGCCTGTCGGCTTTCCTTTCCCGCCGGCTGCTGCAAGTACGCAGGGGATGGAGAGTTGGGAAAGGACCGGTAAATACGTAATTCCGGTCCCCCCTTCATCCACTTCAACACTCGTTTTTTTGTTCTTCTCTGTCTCTCCAAACCACCCCCCTCCCTTCTCTAGTATTCCCAGGAAGTCGTTGAGGAAGTAGTAAAACAGAAAAGGCGGGGCGTCAGAGAGGCTAAACAGGAGAACAGCTCTCCTATGTTGAGAACTGGGGGTAAGAGTAGGTGTGCATGTTCAGAGTTGTACCCCAGAATAGGAATCACTAGTGGGGGAATCTCATGTCAGATTCCAGGGCAATGTGTAAGCCAGGGATTTTTTAGGTAAGGCGGCGGGGGGGGGAGGGGGGTGTAATGGGTGGGGCAGGGGGAAGGTCCATGATTTGAGTTGTACATATCCCCTTTCCTTTGAACAGAAACACAGAATGAGAAGAAAAACATCAAAATGGGTATGAGCGGGATTATTCTCATGATCTATAATGTGAAAGGTTTAAATGATTTAAAAGATTAAATGAGACGCTTATACAGGAACCTGAAAAAGTTAAGGGATGAAAGAGAGCAATTTTTTCTTCTGAATGAAAAGGAGGGAGTCTCTGTGGCTACTATTAGGGAGGCACATAAGGTTTACATCAGGGAAATTTTGATAGCCACAGGGACCAAAAAAAAGAAAGATCGTGAGAGAAAAATAAAGGAGTTGGCGGAGGAGTTATATAGATTAGAACAGGAACATAAGAGAGACACAGAGATACATCATCAGGTCATCCTTAAAAGAGAAGCGTTAAAGGACTTGTTGGAACGGGAGACAAGGAATATTTTTAATAGGGTCTCGAAGGAAAGATATCAGTGGGGGAATAAACCAGGAGAATATCTGATGAAAAGTGTGAAGGAAAAGAAATCAATGAACTATATAAAAAGAATAAAAGACAAAAAAGGAGAACTGGTATATTCCACCACTGATATTGCGAAAACATTCCAAAAATAAATATAGTAAGCTGTATGATGTGAACCCCAAAAACCAGAAGGTAACCGAGGAACAAAAAGAGAGGGAAAAGTTGGGAATACCTAGTGGCAGCAGACCTGCCAAAATATTAGAGGAAAAGTTAGCATCCCTAGAACGAGCAATCTCCCAGGATGAAATAAGTACGGCCCTAAAGAATACAGTGGGAGGAAAGAGTCCAAGACCCGATGGGTACACGGTGGGGTATTACAAGAAGTTTAAAGATCTATTGACCCCTAAACTCTGTACATATATGAATGACCTAGGACGGGTGTCGGCAACCCGCGGCTCCAGAGCCGCATGCGGCTCTTTTTCACCTTGGCTGCGGCTCCGGAGCACACTGCCCACCAGGTGACAGGCAATAGGGCAGCAATGGGCAAACTACGGCCCGGCGGACCTTTTAATCCGGCCCGCGGAGCTAGGCTCCCACTAGGCTCCTCTCACAGTCCACCCTGAAGACCGGTGTAGCATGAAAATCTGTCTCCTATGAGGATCTGTCCCCCTCGACGTATCTGCGCATGTGGCGGAGATCGCCGATTGGCTACTAATGCCTGAAACTGGCACATGCGCAGATACGTCGAGGGGGACAGATCCTCATAGGAGACAGATTTTCATGCTACACCGGAACGGCGCGGGAACACGGCGAGAGGAACGCGCGGAGTAAAGGTAAGGGAATTGACACAGGGGGAACTTGGGGACTTAATATGGGGGATGAATTAATATGGGGGATGAATTTACTATATGGGGGATGAATTACTATATGGGGGATGTATTTTCAGTTTTAAAAATGTGGCTCTCAAAATAAATTTCAATCGTGGTTTTGGCGAGATTTGGCTCAGTTGAAAAAAAAAGGTTGCCCACTACTGACCTAAGGCTATGATTGTGATTATGACGATACACTGTGGCCCTGATTAACCCTTTGCTTACTGGGCCCTTAAACCCCCTTCATGACCAGATCGCTTTTTGCAATATATGCAGTGTCGGATTTGTTTTAAATGTTGCAATGGTTTTGCGGCTCCCAGTCTTTTTTTTTCCCTCTCGGAAACGGGTCCAAGTGGCTCTTTATGTCTTAAAGGTTGCAGACCCCTGCCCTAGGAGAAGGAATGGTAATAAGAGAAGAATTGCTCCAAGCGTATATAACAATCATTCTTAAAGAGGGGAAGGATTGTTCACAATGCGCCAGTTATAGACCCATAGCATCATTAAATACAGACACAAAACTCTGCGCAAAAGTATTAGGTACCAGGTTAAAGGAGTTGATGCCGGTATGGATACACTTAGATCAGGTAGGTTTCGTCCAGGCAGAGAAGAAAGGGATAATGGCCTAAGAACACTGCTTCTCTTACAGAAAGCAAGGAGAGAACAGCTGCCGACAACCATCCTGTCGACTGATGCTGAAAAAGATTTTGACAGGGTGGACTGGGGATTTATGATAAACAAGCTAGAGGTTTTAGGAATAGGGACTAGGATGTTAAAGTGGATAAAGGAGCTTTATAATGACCCACCAGCAGCAGTTAAGGTAAATGGACCCCTTTCATGGTTTTTTTAAAATGTATAATGGCACTAGACAGGGATGTCCATTATCCCCGTTGCTATTCGTTATATCCCTGGAACCTCTGCTGGCAACAGTAAGAGAGTGTAGATGTTAGTGGAATTAAAATAGGAGAGGTGGATCACAAGGTGGCAGCATACGCAGATGACATGCTGTTTTATACTGTGAACCCCAGATTAACGCTACCTAACCTAATAGGGTTATTAAAACAGTATGGTGAGCTGTCAAATTTAAAAATAAACCCTACAAAATCAGAGATTTTGAATGTTAATATTTTAAAGAAAGAGAAGCAGATCCTACAAAAAGACTTTCCATTTACATGGAAGGAGAAGGAACTTGGTTATCTGGGAATAAAGTTAACCCCCTCAATAAAAAATATATATCAGGTAAATTATATTCCATTAATAAATGAAATAAAGGAAAAGTTGAGAAGAATTTCAAGGGTAGGGTCTCCTGGATCGGGCATATAAATCCTTTTTCGTGATAATAAAAAAATTGATACTTAAATATATATGGGTTAATAAGAAGCCGAGAATCAAATATGAAGTTTTGTGTAATAACAAAGAGAAAGTAGGATTAAATCTGCCCAACATTAGGAATTATTATACTGCGGTGATGCTGTCATGAGTTGTAGATTGGACATACAATTCACAGGAGAGGGTTAAAATGGAAGGTATTTTAAGTAATGTACATCTTGAGAATATTATTTGGATACCACGAAAATTTTACACTATGGATGTGATTAGCAGCACGTTGACACGGGAGAGTCTGGGATGGAGTACACAAGTATATGGGATGGAAGTATAATTCATTGTTGATTCCCCTGGTGGGCAGTGAGTTTTCCCACCAGGGAATGACAATATTTTTGGGAAGTGGTTTAAAAATGAGGATGCACTTCTAAGGGATATAGTAAATAAGGGGGAGTTGTGCAAGTTTCAAGATTTAAAAGGAAAAAAAAAAAAAAAAAAAAAAGATTTGTTGTACTAGATGAAATGATATATTTTGTTTCAAAGCTTCCCCAACCACTGAGGATGCCAGAGGATATGCTCCCATTTGAGAAAATGCTGAGCTCTGACAGTCCTAAAGCATATTACTTCTAAGATATATAAGATCCTTACTGAACTCATGGGGGCGGGTCCTCCATTGCTCTTAGAGAAATGGGAAAGGGAGCTGGGAATGAAAAATGAGTGACCAGCAGAAAAATAAATTGTTTAAATTGACACATGGGGCAATGAACATGAGCACAGCTGAAATGAATTATAAATGTTTAACTAGATGGTATTTTACACCGAGTGTGGCACATAGACAGAGAAGAGAGGTATCACCGTTGTGTTGGAGGGGATGTGGACTTAAGGGAACTATGGCACATAAATGGTGGGACTGTCCCAAAATACAGATGTTTTGGCAGGACATAATACAAGTTATACAAGAGATACTGGGGATCACTATGCAGAAAGAGCCGTAGGAGTGTTTATTTTATAGGTCAGAGATACCAGTGAAACAATATAAAAACAGTACATTATACCATCTAATTAGTGCGGCTAAGGGACTTATTCCCAAATTTTGGCAGGTACAGGAGCACCCAACACTGAGGGACTGAATTGATAGAGTTGATTATATAAACAAGATGTAAGAGCTATGCCATACAGATGAAGAAAGAATGGAAAAGTTTAGAAAGAAATGGGTTAACTGGTATAATTTCAAGACATCTAAAAAATATCTGGAAGTAGTGGGAGCTCTAGACTGCCTGACGTAGGAGAATTGAATTGAACGACCAAGAAGTGTATATGAGGAGAGGATTAAAGAAAAGAGATATAGCTATGGACAGGAAATGATGTAAAAAGTTGGACAGAACGGGAGGGGGGTCGGGGGGGATAATGCAAGGTTTGTATTTATTTTCTGATAATTATAAAAGAGTGTTGTTTTAAGTATTGGGAAAAAATGTTTAATAAAAGATATAATTTAAAAAAAAAAAAAAGAAACAAAACAACAACAGGGGTTTAGTTTGCACTAATTTGCAAATACATGCGGAAGCTGCAGAGCCAATGCATGGCACCCCAGTATTATCTGCATTCCTAACACTATAAATTTACATAGTAGTAGCACATGCATAATAATGGATAGACTGAGGGCAGGTAAGCCTGAAGGGAGCTCACTCCTCAAGGCTGGCTTCACACTGATCCCACCAAAAATTTGGCAAAAACGCATGTGCATTTTTACAGGACATATGACTCAAAAACTGCACCAAAAACACACCCATTGATTTCAAAGGGTATGTGCATTTTTGGAACATTTTTTTTTTTTTTTTTACTACACCAAACCTGCACCAAAAATGTAAAAAAGTAAGATTTTAAAAAAAAAACACACCTGACCCACAACGTATCAGTGTGAAAAGTTTCACAGGAGTACATGGTCACACATTTTTTTAAACGCAAAAGCGAAAGTAATATGGATCATTGCGAAACCAACCTAAAGGCACAGGGGCGCACTGGACACCCAGCATATAGCACAATGGCAGCAAAGGTGTCCAGTGCACCCCCTCATCAAATTAAAAATGGTACAAAGAAACAGCAACTGCCCAAACATATAACAGGCCTTATGAACACAGCCGCAGGTCCTAATGTGATAAGTGTGATCCCAAGATCCCAAGAGTGATCCCAAATGTACACTCTCTGTGTTTGGGGCCGTACACTTACAGCCACATGCCTGTCAAATTAGGACCTGCGGCTGTGTTCATACAGCTGCTGTGTCCCCATAGTGTAACATAGACTGCCTGCACACTGCAATAGCCACATTAAAAAACATTGATTCACACTGTACAGGCCACAGCACCCATGTGAATGAGCCCATAGCAGGGGCGGACTGAGAACTCATGGGGCCCCTGGGCAATAGGGGATCATGGAGATCATGGGGATCATGGGGCCCCTGTGTCGTTACCCAAACTCAAAAAAGCCTATGAAAAAGGTACCAGGGGCATCTCATGGGCCCCCTACTGACCCCGGGCCCACAGGCAGTGCCCGAGTTTCCAAATGGTCAGTCCGCCCCTGGTCCATAGACCTCATTCACACAAAAAAATGCATCAATTCAATACAATTTCATCTTTAAATTTAGCAGGAATCTTGTAGGTTATGTAATGTTTGTGTCCGCTAATAATGATTTTCATGTATCTTTAGTGAAAATTTTGTTTTAATATTTTGGGAGGGGGGGGGCTCTCAGGTAGGTTGTATGGTGCGGATTTCCAACAGCAGCCCTGCTTTCTGCTTCAGGCGTCACTTCATACAACCCAAACAGGAGCTGGAGGGCCTTCCGCTGTCCGCGTACTGTTGCAGAAAAATTCAAACCAAAGCCAACTCTGTGCATTTGTGTACTTGTGTGTGTAGTGAGACAAAAAAAAAAAAAAAAAACAACAGGGGTTTAGTTTGCACTAATTTGCAAATACATGTGGAAGCTGCAGAGCCACTTCATGGCACCCCAGTATTATCTGCAGTCCTAACACTATAAAGCCAACTCTATGCATTTGTATACTTGTGTGTGTGTGTAGTGAGACATTCAGTGCAGTTCAACTAATCTACAGTCACAGTCCAAACCTGGTTTATTTATGACACTCATGTATACAGGCCAAAAAAAATGGGCTCAGTATAAAAGGTCTAAAATTCTAATAGACTGCTTCAAGGGACAATTACCTGCATCCAGCTTCATGATATATGTTGGTATTTCAATGATGATGCTACAGTGTCCATCCTCTATAGGTCTGAAGGTTAAAGAGCTGTATGTCTGCAGTTCTGCAAACCTAGGGATTCAAAGGAAAATGACTATGAATGATGGTTTCACTTGTAAAGCATATGTCTAGGCCGCTGAGAGAGTGAAACATTTGATGGTAGTCTCCTCATATGCAGCACACTGAAATCTATATGATTATACTAATGAGATAATTCTATGATACTTGATACAGGGCACAGCGCCATGACGTCATGGGCAGCAAGAAAACTGGTTGGTGGGAGTGAATGGCAGTGGTGGATCACCAGTTTCCCACTATCAGAAGAGACACCGCAGAGGGTCCTGTGACAGCAGATCAAGTTATGTAATAAGGTTTTTTAGAACAGCTTTTCATATTGTGAATAAGTGAGAGGTATTGAGGAGGGGGGGTTGATTTTTGCCTGGAGATGGATGTTAATGTGGAGCTAAACCTCCAGAAATACTCACCTCTGCCTTCCAGTGATGCAGTGGTTACATCCCCCACCAGTCGCTGTCATCTTCTCCCCGGCTACGTGCTGGCTTTTCAGCCTCGTGATTGGCCAGTGGTGGAAAGATGTCATCCCACGCATGCACACGCATCATTTTCCCAGTCTTTGCACTGCTGGCACCTTGGCTGGTATTTGTTTGATGCATCTCACATTTATTGGACAGCATTTCAGTGTTTCCAGGTATCTGTGATCTCATCTATTTCAATGGTATCTCCATTCTAGGAGTCTCATCCCTCCAGCACCATTATGTCTGCTAAACCATTATGGCTCCCAGCCAAGACAAGTTCCAAAGTGCCAATAGGAAACCACTGTGTCATCCAAGCATACAAATATGACTTCCTACTGGATAATCCCACTGATCATACTTAAAGGAAACCTGCAAATAGAGAAATACGTGACTACCCATGCTTTCCTCCTTCTGAAAATGCTAATTGTCCGACTATCTATGGCTTCAATCCTGTGAGTTACTGACACAGAACAAGCAGAAAGTGTGGTCAGAGGAAAGACAGAAGTTCAATTCTGCATGCTTTTCTGGGTCACTGAATGTACTGAAGCCAGTGGATTGCCATCACAGTCAGGCAGCTAGCATGGTAGCCCATATAATCCTCTCCATACAAGTATAAGTTCACCTTTTCACAAAAAAAAAAAAAAATAATGGTGATCTAACACCCTTCACACTTCCTCCCCATCCCTGGTGCACTGACCTCCGTGGGCGATTAGCTGTTACTAAAACAAAAACAACCTGCGCCACAAGAACTATGTGAAAAATTTGAAAGTGAATGCTGCTGTGCCTTGATAAGAATCAAAAAGATTGATAAAAATCAAAAAATCAGTGAAACAAGAAAATAAAATGAAATTAATCAAAAATAATTAACACACAAATCATAATAAATTATGTGGTTATAAAATAAATATCCAAAACCACCAAAATGAAAAAAATATCAAATTTGTGTCCAAATACAAAAAGTGATAAAACCAAAAACAAAGAAAGTGCCCTTTAAACATGCAAATAGTGCTCCAAAAAAATGTTAGGATAAGTGTAATACAGAGAAAAGACTCCACGGATGTACACCTTTCTGGGAATACTGATGTATTCCGCACTCACCAGAGATAATAATAAATTGCACTTTATGGATACAATATTATCCTCCAATTCCCAGGGAAAATTCCCTCTCCATAGCCTCCTTCATATACAAGAGGTTCGTTACATCCAACTTCAAAAGGGATTTCCCCTCATAACGATGTGTTATATAGGAAGACAAAGGAGAACCAATAGTGCAATATTGCAAAGACTTCTAATTAAATAAAATAATGCTCAATCTAGTCACATTAGAACTTAAAATAAGTCGCCAATTGACCGAACGTAAACCAAAGTGGCAGCACCGAATATGACGTCACGCGCTCAACATAGGAAACCGGAAGTATGCTGACGCGTTTCGTCCTTCCTCCAGGGCATTATCAAAGACCTGGAGGAGGGGCGAAATGCGTTAAAAGACATACGTCCGGTTTCCTATGTTGAGCATGTGACGTCATATCCGGTGCTGCCAGTTTGGTTTACTTTCTGGAATCCATTTTACACTGGGAAGTCTGTTTTGGAGGATTTTGTCAATTGGCGACTTATTTTAAGTTTTTTTATGGTGCTTAATCACTATGGTTCTTTTTTTTTTTTTGCTAATTAAAACAAAAAAAAAGACATTTTGAAAAAAAATTAGTTTTTCTTAGCTCCTGTTATAAAATTTTGCAAATAAGTAAGTTTTCTACTTCAATGATGTGCGCTGATGAGGCTGCACTGATGGGCACTGATGAGGCGGCGCTGATAAGCTGCACTGATGAGCACCAAAAAGGCTGCACTGACAGATGGCACTGATGGGGCTGCACTGATAATCAGGGCACGGATGATCAATTCCCTGATTATCAGTGTAAAACAAGTACTGACAGCCTTGCTGGGTATCGCCTGTCTTTTCTTCACACTGGGCTGAACTCACTGAAGAATATCTCATGAGATAACTGAATCACGTGACACATTTTTTCCAATGATGCTGATGCTGAAAATGTCAATTCACTATCACTTTATGAGTTATTTACGTCACAAACCAAAAACGCATAAAACGGGTTTAAAGTCAGTTCACTAAAGGATATAAATAAATGGATGAGCTAAATAAGTAGTGATCCAGGCATGAGGTATTCAAGGAATGTAAAAATATAATAGCCAGTTTGGAGCAGTCATTGCAGCTGATCAACTTGAGGCAAAACTTTTTTTAGTTTTGGATAGAGTGGAGATGGATTAAAGCCCCTGTTAGGTTTTTATTGCTGTATGTGTCCCCATTAGGGAGATTCACCCTCTCTATTTGTCCTGTTTACCATTATCATTGAAAGTGAAGAAAATCCCAAATTTTGTGTTGTTGTTCCCATAAAAGTAATAGAGGAGAAATCTTCCAATGGGGACATTAGTTCTGGTGACCTGGAGGCCCCTAAGGGATTCCCTTAATTTGCAGGATTTCCCCCCTCACTTCCTGTTTTGGCTATGGAACAGGAAGTGAAGGAAAATCTCCCCAATGATAACATTGGAAAAAGGATATTTATATATATGTATGATTTCTTTTATACTATTTTCATTCAATATTTGACATTTATAAAGATCTTTTGTATTTACTTAATTCAGTTTTTTGATACACCACATGTGTCCTGTGAAAGCAGCTTCCCTTTGTTATTCCAGGATGCATGGATACAATCCAAATGCACACGTTCCTGCGTTAAAATTGGCTGTGCTGCAGCGACCATCAGCTGGAACTGAACAGAATCAGCGAGGGAGAATGTCACCAGCACACCGAGGATCACCAATATGGGTCCAAAAGTTTTAATGAACGATCGCATAGTTACAGCAAGGCAACGTTTCAGCATCTCACAGGACCCCTTCATCAGCACATATTGCCTTGCTTGTTATTCCAGTTACCTTTTCTTTTGTATTAAAACATCTGCTGGAGGGACCGCACTGACTAAGTCTAGGTTCACACTTATGCGTTTTCAGCTTTTTTTGCAGAAACGCACAGCAGTCCATTTAACATGATTTTCTATGGGACGTGTTTCACATCTCCGCGTTTTCACCCGGTGTGATTCTTGGAGAGGGTCAGGGACTTTTTTAAAAGCAAAAACATTGTGTTTTTGGTTCTACAGACTTCAATGCAGATGCTGCAAAAAAGCATATAGTGCGTTTTTGATGCATTTTGCGTTTTATTTTGCCCAGCAACAAGTTGAAAAAAACCCCACAAAACGCATCGAAATGTGTCAAACGCATGTGCAAAAACACAAAACACCCAGCAAAAAGCACTGCAGAAACGCATCAAATGCAAACTGCACAGGTGTGAACCTAGCCTTAGTGAGTTGGTATATTTCTATGGATTAAACCATTTTACCTCTTTGTTAGCAATAAAAACTGACAGGGGTTCTAATCCTTCTCCACTGTATCCATCCCACTGGATATCATGTCATGATGTAAAATACGAAAATGGTTTCATGAGTAAAATACCTCCCATTTTCATAAAATAACTCATGCTTTATTTTAGTAGCTTTTTTGTGAATTGCAAAAAAAATGTAAAAAGCTTGGAGTTATTTTTTCGGATTTTAAGAAGAAAATATATCTGTGAATTGAGCCCACAGACACAGTGTGTGAGAAAATGACTGCCAATAACCAGTCTGTTTACACGTGATCAGCTGTGAATGGACACAGCTGAGAACATGGTAAAGGGCCATTGTGATTGGCCCTTTACCACGATCTGTGAAAGTGGTTAAATGCTATAAACTTACATTTTTAAATGTAAGTACTTGAATTTGACCTGATATCAGCCACTTGCAATCTGTACAACAGAGCTCAAACTTAGAGAGGGAGAAGCAGCACAAGGTGTTCTGCAGTGCTCATGTGCTAACAAGGTACAGGCTGATAGAGGTAAAAAGTGAAGAGTGACTAAGAGATGAGCTCATCAGTCTGCTGCTGCTTCTTCCTTCAGTGTCCAACCTCAGGTTGGAGAAAGGACTAGACCTGTAAGTGTTACCTAACTGAATCAGAGGAAAGTCAGGTCTCCTGCCCTGCAAGGCCATGTAAATTTCAGGACAGGATGGACAGAAATACAAATCCTTTTGCAAGTAGTAGCTGTCTGGAGTTCAACTTTACAGTGTTACTAAACCCACACCAGTAAAATCAGTCTGTATATGCAGTAAAGCATGCTGGTTATACTCATTGTGGAACCTAAGGGGTTAATCCTCCGCATTGCATAAAAAGGCTGTTTGATCCGGTCTTCTCTGATTCTTCCCTTCTTATACTGTCTCCAATCCACCTGCTGATAGTACAGAGCTCTAGGAGGCACGCTACACATGCACAGTTTAGAGTGTATGGCTAGAGAGTTTGTTTTCTTTGGGAGGGTGCATGTAATCAGCCCAAGGCCAATCAGCACTCTCCAGACAGAGGGTCAGGGGTTATGCAGCCTCATAGGACAGTCAGTGGAGAATGAAAACTCCTCCTACAACTTTTAACCAGTGCTCAGCTGGACACTGAAGGAAGTCACAAGTCTGCTATATACTGCTGATGAGAAAATGTATTTAGCAGTTTATATTTACTAAGATTGCATTTCCACTTTGTGTGTACTGTGGGTGATCAGATATAGTGAATGCATGATCCTGGGTTTAGTAACACTTTAATGTTACAATTATCCAGAAAAGAAAAAAGGTCTACCCTACATACAAATACAGCAATATTTCAGGAACAGGAAAAGTGTCATACAAATGTGTACAATATGGCCCCAAAAGCAGGTGTACCAGTCTGCGACTCCCAATCAATAGCAGCGAAAACAAAACACCAAACAGTGCCATCGATTTCTGTCTACAGTAGGTGTAAAGAAATTAATTAAATCTCTCCGGCCTGACTTTGATTTATACCTCTGGTGTTTAATTACAAGTGTCCTTCTTTGGCTACTACAAAAAGTGCAAACCTGAGATTTACAAATCAGGGAACGGAAGAACTCCAGGCAAGTCACATATAACAAAAAGGCTTTAGCAGGCGAGCATGGTGAACTAAAACAGTACTGTCCACCTAATTCTACTTTTTTAAATATTTTATTTATTACGGTTTTGTTTAAAAAATGTGTGCAGAACTTTACCTACTATTCATGTTCCTGCTCTCAAGGAGCTTACAGTCAAAGGAGCCAATGAACCAGCCAACAAACCCTTAGAGAATGGGAGGAAACCAAAAGTACCTGGGGTAAACTCCAGCAAGCACAAAGAGAACATGCAAACTCCATCCAGCTAGGGTCCTGGCCAGGTTTTGAACCAAGGTCCCCAGTGCTGCAAGGCAGAACTGCTAACCACTAAGCAACTGTGCTGACCATTTTTCCATTTGGCTGGCCAACATTGGACAGTTGAGGGCAAATCCATCTGCAGTACTGGTGTAGGCTCAAAAGATTCTCTGCAGCTCTGTAACACACAACTTTGATCTTCTAGTCATGGGACTTGTGTGGACAAATGGGGTTTAGGCTTTATGAACCACCTCATCTAGGACACTAGTATCTCTTTGTAAAGACCTGGATTCTGTCTATGCTTTGGCTGGTTATAATCCCTGGTTAGATTCCAACTTCCCAACCCTTGGCACCAAATCTGACTGGATGGCTGGACCTTGTGCCTGAACCTGGCCGTCCTTTGCTCTGACACTCCTTGTCCTCTCTGGTTTGATCTCACTTGCTCTGTAGGATTCTGTAGTCCGGCACATAAGTCATGGAGGTACCCAAGGAATGGACCAAAAGTATAAAACTAAAAGCAAAAAGTTGATGCAACAGGCAAAAAGCATTGCCAAAGAAACTAAAGTGTTGGAACACCGTTACACTCTGTAGCCCAACCCTCCTTCTGTGAATGCTAGTTGCCCGGCTGTCACCCGACTCTCTAGCATCAAAACCTTGAGTGACCATGACCACAATCAAAAATGTAGATAAGGAGCTCTGAAATTATTAAAGACATTTATGATCTATATGCCTGTTGCAGGCCAGTGCTATAGTAAAGGGACAGCTTAAGAGCCAGGGAACTAGCAATTGTAGAAGGTGGTCAGCAATAGCAGCTGTCAGGTTTCTCTTAGAAAATGTTTGCTTTAAATATAGCCCTGAAGGTTTTCCAGTTCCAGTGCACATAAAAGGGTAGATAATCTTGGGGCTGCACAGTGGATAATGTAGCAAGCACAGCACTGCGGGTCCCCAAGGGTAGATAATTCTACAGAACAACCAGTCAGCAACCCAACCAGATAGTAGATGAAATGACCCTTTACCCCTGGTGGCACCTGTTAGGAACTTATTGGTGACCTTTATTATGTATAGTAGAAGTAAAATTCTCACCCTGTAAAAAAAAACATTAAATTTAAAATAGAAATAAACGCAAAACATTTGAGTATAGATATAAAAAAAAGTGATCTTATTCCCTCCGTTCTTAGCTACGTAAGGATCAGGGGGAGGAGAGACAGCATACACTGGTCTGCCCAGTGAAACACTAGTGTGTGTGTGTGTGTGTGTGTGTGTGGTGGGGGGGGGGGGGGGGGGGGGGGGGGTTCTGTCAGTACAAGTCTGATCATTGGAATAGAGCACACTGAGTTCCCAGCACAGCTACAGAATGCTGTGTTCTCATGCCTAGTGTGGTCAGTTTTTAAGTTTGCGTTACATTTTTTTTCCCCTATTATTTATATTACTTTTTTCATTTTACACCGTTTCTTTTTTTGATCACTTTTATTGCTGTCACAAGGAATGTAAAGATCCCTTGTGACATCATTAGGCTGTTACAGGTACTCTTTACAGAGAGTCTCCTCTGCCCTTACAAGCAACTAATCACACCATGATCAGTGTGCTTAGATGCTTTACCAATTTAAAAAATGGCGTTGTTTGCATCAAGGAAACTGGAAGTGATGAGATCATCAGGGATCATCCGGTACTCCACGATCTCTATGGTCAGCTGGCTGCGATCCCGAATTCCCTGATGGGACGGGCAAGCACGGGACCCCCTCCTGCCACCTGTAAAAGTGATCCAGTGGCTCATTAGCTGCTAGGATTGCTTTTACTTAAAAAAGAATTGCCAGTTGAAAACAAAGATACCAGGATGATGTCTGTAGCTGCATGCATCATCTCGGTATAACCACTGAAAGTCCAGGATGTCAATGGGGGGTGGGAAGTCGTTAATCAAAGCAGAGGGACTGGCAGGAACACCAGGGATTTCACACGAAGAAAGCAATACAAAGAGAAGAGGATCATTTTTCATACAAGTACATGGTATAGCAGGCACATGTCAGGAATATGAAATTACATATTCTTTAAGATGGGCACTTGTATCGTGGAGCCCTTACCCCAATATCAGGTTATATTACAGGATTTCCTATTTAAACCTATTAAATGGTAATACTTTATATACTCTGCAGAATATGCAAGAACGGATATCTCCACAGAACCAAAAATTACCTTTGTACCCACACCGGTCAAATGAAAGGTGGATTCTGAAAGGCTGGATTTAATAGGTGACTGTAGGAAGATGATAATAGCTCATGGCCCTGATATATTTATATCTAAAGCAAAAACAAGGTCTTTTTGGTTTAGGTAGAGTGAAGATGGGTTGGAACCACTGTCAGGCTTTTACTGCTGGAGTCCAACTCACCCATCACCAGACCCTCCTCTGCCCTCAAAATGGGTTCACAGCTAATGGTAACACTGTATTGTCGCTCAGTCAAGAAATGGCCAGCGCACCAAAAATGAACTCAAAAATCAAAATTTAATTGAGTTTTTCATGCAGAAAGTGGACAACATGTGAAAAAAAGCATATCCACCATCGTTTCTGGGCCTTGCTGGACCATGATTGTCACCTTGGGAAAAAGAGTCCAGAAAGGTCCACGAAATATTGGTGGATATGCTTTCTTTTTGAACTTTTTATCAGTTTATGCATGTGAACCCCAATAAACTTTTTGATTTTTAAGTTTCGTTTTTGGTGCACTGTTCATTTTTTAAAAGAATAAGTTTAGCTTTCCACAATAATAAATGCACATTTTGTTGCGGATAAAAAAAATGTGCATTTATTATTTTTTGTCTTCAGAGCCTTTAAAGCATTGCACCAGCGATCAGTAGATCACTGACACCATGTAGGTCTCCTGCAGACTATCAATGTACCTGCTTGCTAGTACATCCCGTACGCCTTTAGATTGTAAGCTCTACGAGCAAGGCCCTCATATTCCTTCTGTACTGAAATGTATTGTAATTGTACTGTCTCCCTTATATTGTAAAGTGCTGCGCAAACTGTTGGCGCTATATAAATCCTGTATAATAATAATAATGATAATACTTCTGACAGGAAGAATCAATGAACTACCACAGTGCCGTGATAGTTCATGGAGACCTACAAGCCGACAGCCACTAAGGCTGTCGGAACACGTAGTCCATTCATTCAGAGGACTGTGAATGAATGACACGGCTGTGCAGGGCTCTGCTGTTTTTGAAAAGTGACATCTAGCACAGGGAACTTCTGTACTTCTGTCAAAGGGAAGGGGTGGCAGCGGGCAACAGCTATGGGAACATGTTACTTGTCCCACCCTAAAAACAGGTGGAACATGCAACATGTTCCCAAAGGTGACCTTATCCTTTAGTATCTATTGCTGTCAGAAAGTGATGTGAAATCTAGAAATTTACAAATGTCACTGGAACAAGAGATCAGGAGAAATCTTCCAAAGGGGAGACCTGTTCCAGTGGAGAGATAAAGGGTAATTTCCTCAATAGGACACAAGACACCAAAAGAAAAAATGTCAAGAGCTTTAACCATGCTCTACCCCGTCTAGAAAAAAAATGGTTTTAGGTCCACTGTAGAACACAAGACCCTTTCCTGCAGGGTTACATAATGAAACGGGAAATGATGAGACCTACCAAGACTGCAAGGGACTCTTCCGCTGACCTTGAGACTGCAGCTTTTCGGAGTCCAGTTCACAGTGACCTCCAATCTCACCCTCCTGGATAAAATCCTCCTTAAATCTATGAAAAAATGACAATCGCTGAGAAATCAGCAACATCTGAGGGTCTATTATTTTTCAAGAAAACAAAGTTAATTAGCCAGACATTTGAACATAAATATTACCCATTATATAGCTTACAGCAAAAAATCCAGGCAAATACTTAACTATACCCCAGCCACACAGCCTATTAGTCATTCACTGCTATTACGGGAGGTCAAAATGGCAGCCACTAGTTCCTTGACCCCCTTCTCCTCTCCCCCCACCCCTTTTTTTCTCTTTGGAGAACAGAATGATTATGACATCATATGGAAGTGAGGGGATGACTCTGCTTCTTTCAACCCATTGTATGTTCCTAATGACAATTGGTCTGCTTTTTAAGATTCTTACTAGAGTATTCCCCTCTACTGTTAACATGTCATACATAGTGTGTGGATACCATTATACAGCATGGGGCGGTCTCTCTTAACCTCCTTAGTGGTATTCCCGAGTGTAGCTCAGGGTAAAATTTCAATACCGAGAGCGGTAACCCCGAGCTACACTCGGGCTTACCATGTGGCGTTGCTCTGGGGGTCCCTGCAGCACTTAACTTGTCCTTCGCTCCCCGCGATGTGTCCCCTGCAGTGTCCCGGGCCATCTCTTCCGGCCGATGCCGGCATCCGGCTTCCGTGTTCCGGTCCCTGTGTGACGTCGGGGACGTACGGGAAATTTGAAATTTTTAAAAAATGTCATTTTTGCTGTCATTGATGTTTCAATGCATTTCACATACATTTTGTCCTGAGTGCTTTGTCCTGTGCCCTGCCGGCATTTTGACTGTTCTTTCTGCCTGGAAACTTAGAAAAGTCCATGGCGTCCAAAAGAGCGTCCCTTTAAGTCAAAAGCGGTTTTAGAACAGCGATAGTAAATCAGAACCACTTGCAGAATTGAGTGATGATTTGTGGTGAAATTCGTCATCAGACACTGAAAACAATTTTGCGACTTTGCTCAGCGATGTGCGAATTTGCCGCTATACTTCAAATTTCAGTGTTTTTGGATTATATTATTGAATCAAATTTATTATTATATTATTATTTTTTATGATTATTTATTAAATTATAATTTATGATTTCGTGTTTTAAGTTTTATCATATCCGGAATGTTTACTAGACTCTTGTTCGGACAGATTTCAGTGAGTTATTCCTAAAAATTACAGCCTACAATAAAAAACTACATATTTCCATGCAAAAAAATGGTACCGCTTTCAGCACAAAAAAAAAAATCGGAAAGAATCATACCGCCAGGGAGGTTAACCTAGTTTTTCCTTTTTGAGTTTTCTATAAACATACATTGCATGGACTGATGTGACTCAAAACCTGTTTTTGCTTTGTTTTTTTTCTCCTGATTGTCAAATCCCATTTGTACTTTGAAAACGTAAAAAAAAATGACAGCCACTAATTGCTTTGTTTTCATAGTAGGAAGGGCTGCAAAAATGCGCGTAAAATGTGTAAAATGACACTTGCAGATAGGCTGCAAGTGTCATTGAGTAAATCCAAGGTGATAGTGTATTCATATGTAGATCAAAGATGTGATCTGCATATAACATTAGTTAAAGTGATTCTAAGGCTCATTTAAAAAAAAAAAAATAATAATAACAAACATGTCTATCCTTACCTGCTGTTTGCAGTAGTATTGCACAGAGCAGCCAGGATCCTCCTCTTCTCAGATCCCCCATCGGCGCTCCTTGCCCGTCCCTCCGTTGGGTTCCCCCCACAGCAAGCAGCTTGCTATAGGGGCACCTACTGCTCCGTGTGTCCATTCACATACGGAGCTATGGCTTGGCCCCACCCCCTCTCTCTTCTCATTAGATCAATGGCTTTGATTGACAGCCAATGGTTCCCGCTTCTGTCTCACCCAATAAGGAGAGGGAGTCCCAAAATAGCCAAAACTCCAGTGCACTTCACTGGATCGAGAGGGGGCTTAGGTGAGTATTAGGGGGTGCTGCTGCACAGAGAAGGTTTTTTACCTTCATGCATAGAATACATGAAGGTAAAATACCTTGAGCCTTTACAACCACTTTAACCACTTCAAGTCCGGACATTTTTACCCCCTTCCTGTCCAGGCCACTTTTCAGCTGTCAGCGCTATCACACTTTGAATGACAATTGCGTGGTCACGCAACACTGTACCCATATGACTTTTTTACCATTTTTATTTTGGTGGAATTTATTCACCACTGGGATTTTTATTTTTTTTGCTATATAAATGAAAAATTGAAAAAAAAAAAAAAAAAAAAAAAAAAAAAAAAAAAAAAAAAAAAAAAAAGAGTGTTTTTCTTATAAAATTTTGCAAATAAATAATCTTCCTTCATAAATCTTGGCCAAAATGTATTCAGTTATCTTTTTAGTAAAAAAAAAAATAACCCAAATTAGTTTATTACCAAAAATTATAATTTAAAAAAAATTTTTTTTGCATTTTTTATTTTATTTTTTTATATTATTTATGTTTTTTTTTTTTTTTTTTTACATACTGTCACCCTAGCAGTACAGTGTCACCATGTGATCACATGAAGATTAGTACTCCTACTTGTGGGGGGTTATGAAGATTTTTTTCTTTTTACACTGATTGCTTTTACACCCATAAAGGCTGTAAAAGCAATCATTTCTCCTTCTCTCTGGCTGCACTATTGCAGCCATTGAAAAATACTGTGTGAACTGTGATTGGCCACAGCTTGTCACATGGTACAAGGCTGTTGTGAATAGCCTTGTACCATGTGACCTCTGTGATCGTTCACAGATTTCACATATAGTAAGCAATGATGTCAGGAAGTGCCATCTTGCTTACTACTCTTCATGTGTTCACCGATTGGCCCGAACAGCGGTCCAGTACAGCGATCGGTGTTCCCAGCGAGTGCGCACAAGCAGGGGGCGAGGAGGCCATTTATAAACGGCCACCCGCCCCTGCACTGCTCCCGTCCGGCCGTTTATATACACGGGCCGAACGTGAAGTGGTTAAAGAATCCTTACAAATAAAAAATTATTTTGCTAAATAAAATGTATCCCTTTAGGCCCCTTAATAACCCTTAGGTAACCATATGTATCCCCATTTAGCTCCTTCTTTCCCATCTCACCTTAGTTATTTTTCAGCTTTTTTTTTATTTCTATTAATATTTCTATAAATATTTTTTGGTTTGCCATTTTTGTCAGTGTCATTTAAAAAGAATGCTTAAGCCAATGAGAGGAAACCTTGTTATATATGTATAAATACAAAGCCTCTTCTGATTGGCTGAGGCGGAGTTCATGACATCAGCCTGCCTTTCTGCCTTCGATCAGAATTAGAGCTTTGTATTTATTCACCGATTTATTTGCATTATCCTCCCCCCCTTTTACCTTCAGCTTTTTGGTCCCCAATGTGATAAACATTAAAATTTAGTGAAAAAAAAGTCCAAAAAATTAAAAGTTACACGCAAGCATTTAAACCCTACCAAAAACACAAAATGTAAGACGCACATGTCAAAAACATTGATTGTACTACACATTACACATCACCGTGCACCGCTGGAGTAAGAGCAATCATTCTAGGGCCATTATTTATGGTTAACGTCAAAATGATGACCTGTAGGTGCTTTTAAATTGCAGTCTACTACCATTTTTTGAATTCTGCTTTCAGAAAATATAAATTGTTTTGGGGGTTTTAAATAAATAATTTAAAAATTCAAAAAACAGCTCTGGCAATGAAAGGGTTAAATAGGCATTGCTATTTAAGGCCGGAGTTCTGTAAATCTGTCTGACCTGTCAGGGCCTCTTCTAGGATTTCTCAAGTCCAGGTAGAGGTTGGTGGCTCTGCAGTGTTGAAGGTTGGCAGAACAGGCCAGTAGTGAGTCACCCTAAAAGAGAGAATTATAGGAAGGATTATTTCTTTTATACCATGGTGATCAATGATAGAATAATCTGCTCAGGAATACTGACCGGCCTGCGAGGACGACATAAAACTTGCATTTCATCGATCCTCTCCTTCACATATCCGAAGTCTGCCTGTCTCCAGAACACTTCTTGAGCCTCCTTTAAGGTCTTTGCCCTTCAAGAACAAATACATTTAAGTGACACCAATGCGCGGTCTGCGTGTTTTTATGGCATGCAATTCAAAAGTTAATTATGTATTATGACTGCAAACAGTATTTGTTAGAAAAAAAATCAAATCGAAACATATAGGGGATAGATACAAGAGTCATTTCCGGCTTGTTCACATAGTGCGGCAGTACTTGCCCCCCCCCGCTGAAAAGCGATTCACGGTGGATCTCTTTTCAGAAGTGTTTTTACAGGCGGTGAGGTGTTATTTCGCCTACTCACTGCCTTATTTAAGGGATAAGTTCCTCTTTAGGAACATGTTACATGAGCCACCTGTTTTTAGGATGGAACATGGAACATGATCCTGCAGCCGCCGCCCCATGACCCCCACCATGACAGAAGTACAGGGAAAAGTTCCTCCTACTAGCTGTCACTTTTCAAAAACAGCATGGCCATGTGGGGCTCCACGCCATTCATTCACAGTGTTCTGTGAATAAATGGACTAAAAGTCCCAACAGCCTTAGCGGCTGTCAGCTTGAATTTCTCAATTAACTACCATGGCGGTGTGGAGCATTGTGATAGTTCAATGACTCTTCCTTGTCATAGTTCAATGACTCTTCCTGTCATAGTTCAATGACTCTTCCTGTCAGCCAGTATCAGCATGCCCCTACAGGATGTACAGGCAAGCAGATACACTGACAGTCTGCAGGAGACCTGCATGGCATCAGCGATCTACTGATCGCTGGTGCAATGCTTTACAGGATCCTAACCCAAACAATAATAAATACACATTTTTTACCTGCAAAAAAAATGTGCATTTATTATTTTTTGTGGAAAGGTGAACTTAACCTTTAATCCTGTAAATGTTGCCCAACCACAGGGCAGCCGCATAGAATTGCATGGGTTGTGTTTGGCAGTAGTAATGACCGCTGAATGCTACGTGCTGTGAAATTCTTGCCGCAGCCTCGGCATGTGTACGTGTGAATGAAACACTAGAGACATACAGTTAGGTCCATATATATTTGGACACAAGCACAATTTTAGCTTTTTTCAGGTATTTACCAAAACATATTCAAGCTATAGTTATATAATGGATATGGGCTAAAAGTGCACACTTTTGAGGGTATGTACATCCAAATTGGAGGAAGGGTTTAGAAATTACAGCTCTGAAGTGTAGCCATCCCCCCTTTTTTAAGGGACCAAAAGTAATTGGACAAATGAATATAATCATAAATAAAATGTTCATTTTTAATATTTTGTTGAGAATCCTTTACTGGCAATGACTGCCTGACGTCTGGAACCCATGGACATTACCAAAGACTGGGTTTCATCCTTTCTGATGCTTTGCCAGGCTCTAACTGCAGTTGTCTTCAGTTCTTTGTGAGTCTTTCCTTTACTTTTGCCTTCAGCAAGTGAAATGCATGCCCAATTAAAATTGTGCCTGGGTCCAAATATATATGGACCTAACTGTAAGTGACACCTTGTTACAATGTCTTGTTGTAAAGTTTCAGACACTCAAAACCTCAATTAGTCCCTCCAAGCTGTGTACAATTGACATGGACGTGCTAAAGCCTGTGTGAAGGCCGTGTTGCCTACATGGGGATGCACAGGTGTCCCATGCACTCCCAGGTAGGCAGAGCCATTCATGTCAATTGGGATGCAGCAGCTGCATGGACATCTGGGGGTGCGGGTCTCTAACTGCAAATAGTGTGCACTTGGGGACCCACGTCTTCACACTCCAGCAGCCACACGGATTGTGACAGCCAAATTGACAGCAGCCACTGACATGAATTTGACTGCCTGCATGAGGATGCACAGAACACCTGTGCATCGCCATCCAGCCAAACACGGCCCTCACACAGGCATATGCAAAAAGTGTTACTAAACCCAAAACAGTAAAATCAGTCTATATATGCAGTAAAACATGCTTGTTATACTCACTGTGGGACCTAAGGGGTTAATCCTCTGCATTGTGTAAAAAGGCTGTTTGATCCTGACTGTCATGTTTCACATGACTGTCATATGCCTTTAAATGTTTTTTATATTTTGTTTCTGCTCCTCCCTTTCCTTTGGTTTAGTTAATGTTGTATAGATAGCCCTCCCCCTTTCCCACGAATGCATTGCAGCAAGCCTTGTGGCATGCAGCAGAAACATTATGATCTTTTGACCTATCGAATGTTCATTATTGTAAGATTCTCTCGGTTTATGGAATAAACTTCACAAAGATGTCATTCTCATTGAGCCACTGACTGTGGTATCCAACTGAGGTTGACGTTATTGCTATCTCATCACAACTGTAAGTTACAGAGATCACACTATCAATGCTTAGATTGGAGAGACAGAACACGGACGTTTCTGATCCTCCCCTTCTTCCAGTGCTCCCCTCCTATCTCCTGATAAGACATATCATGTGGAGTCACGCTGCCCATGTTCAGTTTGGTGTGTATTGCTGTAGAAGTTTTTTTTTCTTGGTTAATGTGCATGTGATCAGCACAGGGCCAATCAGCACTGTTCAGACAGAGGTCAGGGGTTCTGCATCCTCCTAAAGCAAAATGAAAACTCCTCCTACAAGCTTTAACCAGTGATGAGAAAAGGTATTCAGCCATTTATACTTACTAAAATAATTGCACTTTCATGTTCTATGTATTTTGGGAGACCAGATAATGTAAATGCAGGGTCCTGAGTTTAGTAACACTTTAACTATGCTTTTTTGTAGAAGAAAACACAATAAAGTGATTAGTATAAATCAGGTTTACATCATGCTAAATGACAAATTCAATTTAACAGGTAACCATTAGGTTGATTATTTGTTCACTGTTTTACAGCAGCCCTAAAGCTAGAGCATGTTAGGTCTCGTAAACATGGGTGCCTGGGGCTGCACGGCATAAAATTTGGGCATATTTCACCACCCAGGAGCCATAGGTCTCCACAGTCTCCCATAGAATCCAATGGCTGTACATGGACATATGCCAATACTTGCATAAACATGCACACGTGTTCTGTTAAAAAAAACACATGTATGCACACGTGTAGATATGTATGACCCTGAATGCAGACAGATGCATTCTGGATGATATGTTTGTAAGCATGTGTAAGTACAGGCACACACTCAAATTTTTTGCAATCAAAAAGAACCATTAACTGCATTTATGGACAGGATAAAATGATAAACTGCGGGTACAAATAAACTTTTACAGCCTCCAGGATCACTCTTTTGGCACACCTTCAGTACACTCGGTTTCTTATTAAACTTAAGGCAATAAAATATCTGTCTCCAGCTGTAAACCACGTACCAAGCAGAGTCAACCATGTCACACACGGGATAGCTGAACCTGTGCTTCTTTCCGCATGACTTCTCATAGCCCCAGCAAGACCTATGATTGGTCAGGTGCTCCTAAAAAAACACAACCGATATTTTTAAGGAAATTGAAAGGGAAACTATAGAATATTTGTAAGTACACTGAATGCTCAATTCACAAAGCTCCAACATAAGAAAACTTCTTTTAAAAAAAGTGAGTTATTTTTTTTTGGGGGGGGGGCAGAACGCCAATAGGATTTGAAAATTTGCAGTCATTGGATTAAAAATGAAAATCCTTACCCAGTGATAAAGCTAAACTCCAGGTACATATAAAAGACACAAACTAAAGCGGATCTTCACCGTAAACGTTATGTTGCCCTGCCTCCTTCAGCAAAATTTCAGTAAAAAAAAAAACACACTAAAGTGAATTTTAGGGCAAACAAAACGCAATAAATTCCCCAAATATTTTATAAAATATAAAAGATGAGGTTGCACCGAGTAAGTAGATACCCAACATGCCAAACCTTAAATTTGTGTGTGCCTATGAAATGGCGCCAAAATCGGTACCCTATATTTTCTATAGGCGACTCTTCAAAAGCCCCTACAGGTCATCAGCTTAGTGTTACAGAAGAGGTCTTGTGCTAGAATTATTACCCACACTCTGGCGTACGCGACGATATGTAACATGTGTGTCGCAATGGACATTCTCACACAAAGGTGCCCCCAATGATTGCATTAACGTTCCTACGTGTGTAAATGTGGGAGTGGGGGGGGCTAAAAATTTTGGGGGGGTGTTATACGCTTGGGTGTAACTTTATTTTTTTGCAAAAAAAAAAAGTTTTTTTTACTTTTTTTTCCTATCACATAGCAGACACAAAATCCCCTATGTGATGATTTTTAAGTGACAGGTTCTCTTTAATGAGACATGAAGGGGTCTAAAGGCCCCTGCATGTCTCTTCTGGGCTCCCCTGGATGTATTGAAATGTAGATCCCATTGCCATACATCTCTCCCCAGCTATTCTAGCCGGGAGAAAGTGACAGCTGTGACATCATACTCATTGCTTTATGGGTCACAGCAAGAAGGGGAGGAGCCACGGCACGTATACGTGTGAATGAACCACTGAAGACATAAGTGACACCTTGTTACAATGTCTTGTAGTAAAGTTTCGGACACTCAAAACCTCAATTAGTCCCTCCACACTGGCATGCTAAAGCCTGTGTGAAGGCCGTGTTGCCTACACGTGGATGCACAGGTGTCCCATGCATTCCCAGGTAGGCAGATCCATTCATGTCAATTGGGATGCAGCAGCTGCATGGACATCTGGGGGTGCGGGTCTCTAACTGCACTCGGGGACCCACGTCTTCACACACCAGCACCCACACGGCTGTCAAATTGACAGCAGCCACTGTGCGTCCACTCTCCTCTCTCTCTCCTGCACCCGCCGCTACCCACCATGTCAGCCCCAGACCCGCAGATGGGCAAGCGGAGCACAGAATACAGTGAAGGAAATACGTATTTGATCCCCTGCTGATTTTGAATGTTTGCCCACTCACACAAAGAAATGATCAGTCGAAAAATCGAATGGTAGGTGTATTGTAACACTGAGACAGAATAGCAAACAAAAAATTCAAAAGAAATGCATGTCTAACAAATGATGCAGATTTGCATGTTCATGAGGGAAATAAGTATTTGATCCCCTATCATTCAGCAGGATTTCTGGCTCCCAGGTGTCTTTCATACAGGCAACAAGTTGAGATTAGAAGCAGTCTCTTAAAAGGGAGTGCTGCTGATCTCATTTTGTTACCTGTATAAAAGACACCTGTCCACAGGAGCAATCAAACAATCAGATTCCAAATGCTCCACCATGGCAAAGACCAAAGAGCTGTTCAAGGGACAAGATTGTAGACCTACACAAGGCTGGACTGGGCTACCAAACTATCACCAAGCAGCTTGCTGAGAAGGTGACAACAGTTGGTACAATCATTCACAAATGGAAGAAACACAAAACAACCGTCAGTCTCTCTAGTCTGGCAGGAGCGCATGTGCGTGTACAGGGGGGGTTTGGGCGCCACGTTACCATGGGCTGTGGAAGAAATCGGGCAGCAGCCACTCGACTGATTCCACCTGACAGGCAGGAGTCTGCCTCTCAATTTTAGACACAATCCCAGTGGCTGCAACTACCGAATTGTGTGTAAAACCCAACACTATGACATCCATATGGACCTGGCATTGAAAGGGTTAATGTAGCCATATATTCATTAATACAGCGTTACATTTATTTATTTATTTTTAATGCAAGCGGTGTATATACTTTAATTTGACTTGCTATCCACCTGTTGCAATCCCCTGTACAGCAGAGCTAACACTGGGAGAGGGGGAAGCAGCACAAGAACCCAATCGGTTCTGCTGAAGTGCTCATTTACTAACAAGGAACATGCAGTGTGATTGGCTGAATCAAATCACATGGGTGAATGGCATGCCATCCGATTCCAGTGCAGAAAACAAAAGTGCCTGCATCTTTCGTGTGCGTGCGCTGCGAATTGCGGTGTAATTTGAGCCATACAAAATTAATGGCTCAAATCGTACTACAAAGAATTCCCTTGTGATTTGAACAGGAATGCAGTGCGATTTCTATACAAACCACATGCGGTTTCCAGCACAATAGTGTGAACTGGACTTTTTTTTTTTTTTACATTTCTTCAGTTACTTTCTGATTTCCAGGCCTAAGCAAATGATGTCACAAATCCCAGGAGTCTTTAGGAGGGGAGGAGGGGGTTTCTCAGCTAATCACACTCTCCCGCATGCATGCCTGATCTAAGGGCAGATGGACTCTAGGAAGCAAATGCTACAAGATCTATTTGTCCTTACTGAGTGAGTTCTCAACAAAGTAAAGCATAGAGACATGGATGGATGGATGAGTTGGCAGTGTATCTCCCCTTTAACTGCAGCGGACAAAAATCATGTCTCCTACCAGACAAGGCTGTTCTGTGAGGCAGAGCTGTGTAAATCTCAGGACTGTATGGACAGAACTATAAATCATTTGGTAAAACAGCTCCTATATGTACTTTGTGTATTTTACCAGTTCAGCTTTAAAGAGCTGGGCTCTATTGGGCCTCTAGCGAGTTATTTTAATATCTATCTGAAAGTACTTGTTATTTATTTATTATAGGTACTTATATAGCGCCATCAATTTACACAGCACTTTACATATATATTGTACATTCACATCAGTCCCCAACCCTCAAGGGGTGTACAATCTAAGGTCCCTAACTTACATTCATACATATACAAGGGCCAATTTAGACAGGAGCCAATTAACCTACCAGCATGTCTTTGGAGTGTGGGAGGAAACCAGAGTACCTGGAGGAAACCCACGCAGGCACAGGGAAAACATGCAAACTCCAGGCAGGTGGTGCCATAGTTGGGATTTGAACCAATGACCCTAGTACTGCCAGGTGGAAGTGCTCATTTAGCCACTGTGCTGCCAATAACTTTATCTGCCTTTATAGTTTTACATACTTCCTGCTCCATATTCCTGAATGTGAGCACTGCAGCCGCATCAGGACTTCAGATCGGCAAGGACAGACCATGATTGGTGCAGACAAATCACAGGGAAACAATAGTGGCTTTGTATGAACTTACTCTAAAGGGACAGTGAGGATCCTGGGAGCAGAGGGCGGCCACCTCTGGGTTACTGTATAGAAAGTATGGAACGTGTTCACCTGGAAGATTGACCTTCTGAAGATTAGAGGAGTCATTTCTGACAGCAGATACAAACTCAAACGTGGCAAGGTGTACTACATGTAGCAGCAATCCAGAGCTTAGATACAGCATGACAAGGTCCACTTCCTGAAAAACAACATATACAATATTCATCGATAGATAGATAGATACGATAGATAGATAGGATACGACAGATACGATAGACAGATACGATAGATAGATGAAAGAACAGGAAGGAAGGAATGATGGAGTAGACAGAAAAATGAAAAGGAAGATAGATAGATAGATAGATAGATAGATAGATAGATAGATAGATAGATGAATTGGAACGAAGGAAGGAAAGAAAGATAGATTAAATAGATAGATGGATGAATAAAGAGATATATAGACAGAAGAATCACAAGTAATGAAAGAAGGAATAGACAGATAAAAGCAGACATTAAATACATAGAAGGAAGGAAGGAAGAGTTAAACTAAGGGATGGAAGGAAGAAATTAGATAGATAGATAGATAGATAGAGCTATATAGACAGAAGAATCACAAGTAATGAAGGAAGGAATAAACAGATAAAAGCAGAAACTAAATAAATAGATAGAAGGAAGGAAGAGTTAGATAGACAGATGAATTAGTTAAATAGAAGGGATAGACAGATACAGTACATACATTTGAACATATACAGTATGGTGTATGGACAAGAAATGAAGTATATTTTTAACATGTTTTTTGCATCTTCCAAGCACTTATTTTATAGTAAAAAGAACTGATATACACTTTAGTGAATATATATATCCTTTACATTTAGGCTACTTTCACACTGATCCATAGCAAAAACACCTAAGCGTTTTTACTGCATTTGCTGTGTGTTTTTACAGAACATGACTCAAAAACTGTTCCAAAAATGCAACACGGGTTAGTTTTTTTAAACGTTTTGACCATGTATTCCATTTATTTCAATGGGAAGGTACCTTTTTGATACTTTTTTTTTACCGCACCAAACCTGTGCCAAAAATGCTGATACCAGTATTTAAAAAACACACTGAACCTGCAACAGATAAGATCAGATGTGAGGAGTTCCATTGGAATACATGGTCACGTGTTTTTCTTCTGTTTTTTATTTTTTAAAACACAAAAGTGGAGGAAAAATGGATCATTGTGAAAGCAGCGTTATTCACTGGCTGCATATTATTTGTAGCAGATATTTCACCCATCAGCACTTTCTGCTCAGCAACAGACAAAGGTCAAGTTCACTTGTAGCTGATTTTGAACCCCATCAGCAGAACTGACTTTCTACAATTGTATTGGGGTGAGTTTTCAGTGGCCACCTTACAAATAGTTCTAAATTCTGACATTGATGAGTCCCATATATTTATATATTGTAAACACTTCAAACTCAATTCTAAAAAAAGTTGGGGCGCTGTGTAAAATCTACATAAACACAGAACGCAATGATCTGCAAATCTCATAAACCCATATTGTATTCACAATGGAAAATAGAAAACATAGCAAATGTTTAAATGTAACATTTTAAGAAAAAAATAAGATGGATTTTGAAATGGATGGGACATTCTCAGTTTAACCAGTTCCCAACCGCGCTATAGCCAAGGGATGGCAACAGCGCGGTTGTCTGGTTCTGGGATGATGTCCATGGACGTCATTCCAGAACACGCCCCCTGCGCGCCCCCAGCGCCACCGGTGATCACTGTGTCCTACGAACACAGCTGATCACAGTATAGGGTAAACGGAAAATCACAGCAGCCTTTTACCACATGATCAGCTTTGTCCAATGACACAGCAGATCACAGGGTAAATACAGTTGCCGGTTATTGGCTGCACTTTTCTCACGCCGTCACAGCGTGAGGAAAGTACTGCCAAGAACCGGCAATTGTCAGCGAAGTGATCGGCACTGATGATCAGTGCCCAGTAGTGCCACCCACCTGTGCCCAGCAGTACCACCCACCTGTGCCCAGCAGTACCACCCACCTGTACCCCTCAGTGCCACCCTCCTGTGCCACCCACCTGTACCCCTCAGTGCCACCCTCCTGTGCCCAGCAGTGCCACCCTCCTGTGCCCAGCAGTGCCACCCTCCTGTGCCCAGCAGTGCCACCCTCCTGTGCCCAGCAGTGCTGCATCATCAGTGCTGCCTATCAATGCAGCATCATCAGTGCCAGCTCATCAGTGCCACCTATCAATGCCCATCAGTGCTGCCTATCCATGCTAGCTCATCAATGCCCATCAGTGCCACCTATCAATGCCCATCAGTGCTGCCTATCCATGCTAGCTCATCAATGCCCATCAGTGCCACCTATCAATGCCCATCAGTGCTACCTATCCATGCTAGCTCATCAATGCCCATCAGTGCTGCCTATCAATGCCAGCTCATCAGTGTCACCTATCAATGCCCATCAGTGCTGCCTATCCATGCTACCTCATCAATGCCCATCAGTGCTGCCTATCAATGCAGCATCATCAGTGCCACCTATCAATGCCCATCAGTGCTGCCTATCCATGCTACCTCATCAATGCCCATCAGTGCTGCCTATCAATGCAGCATCATCAGTGCCAGCTCATCAGTGCCACCTATCAATGCCCATCAGTGCTGCATATCCATGCTAGCTCATCAATGCCCATCAGTGCTGCATATCCATGCTAGCTCATCAATGCCCATCAGTGCCATCAATGCAGCATCCAATCATCAGTGCCACCTATCAATGCAGCCTATCAGTGCCCATCAGTGCTGTCTATCCATGCTACCTCATCAATGCCCATCAGTGCTGCCTATCAGCGCATCCACATCAACACACATCAGTGGAGAAAAATTACCTGTTTGCAAAATTTTATAAAAGAAACAAAAATTTTTTTTTTAATTTTTTGCTCTTTTTTTGTTTATAGTGCAAAAAATGAACACACTCAGCGGCGATTAAATACCACCAATAGAAAGCTCTATTTGTGTGAAAAAAATTACAAAAATTTCATATGGATACAATGTTGCATGACCGCGTAATTGTCATTCGAAGTGTGAGAGTGGTGAAAGCTGAAAATTGGCCTGGGCAGGAAGGGGGTAGAAGTGCCCGGCGTTGAAGTGGTTAAATATTTCAGGTGTTTTCTATTGTGAATAAAATCTGGGTTCATGAGATTTGCACATCATTGCATTACGTTTTTATACAGATTTTACAGCGTCTCAACGTTTGTGTTGTGTAAGAACTATGAACATATTTACAAATCAGATACAAAACAATATCAAAAAGTTAGTTAACTCAATAATGAACTCCAGGAAGACTTTCTTAAAGCGGAAGTGTAACATCCAGGTATTTATAATCTCTTTCCTCTCCCATGCCTTCATCTGCTTTCCTCTCCAGGACAGGGCCATGCATGTTCATCCAGGGTCACCATCTACTTCCTGGACTAAGATGACAGCTCAGAGAGGGCACAGTCATGTAAATTCTGGTGCCTGTGCAGTTCTTGGCTGTGTTCACAAATATCTGACACAGATCAGCCCCTGCTGCAACCTCTTACCATGTGACTTGCTACAAAGTTACAATACGATCACTGAAGGAGAGGAGATTGTGGAAATGCTTCCTCCTGCCTGCAGCAGATTGATGACATCTCAGCCTAGACAAAGTCGCTGGACTAGAGCTCAAGAATTGCTTTTAAATGATAAATTGAAGAACTCTTTTTGTTTTGTAAAACTTATACTGTTAGAAATGTGTTTATAGAGCAGTGATGGCGAACCCGTGGCACGCGTGCCACAGCCGGCACGCCGAGCCTTATCTGTGGGCACGCCAGGAGAATCCAGCGGCACGCTGTCTTCCCGGCTGTAGTGTGCGTGACAGCCGGGTCCCAAGTGCGCATGCACAAGAAGCAGTGCTCTTTGTGAATGGTAAGGCGGTACCTGGGACACATGACAGATCCCAGAAGCCGCCGGACCACTCACAAAGCGCAGCGCTTCTCGCGCATGCGCACTGGGCATCCGGCTGTCCGACAAGCGCCCACACTACAGAAGCCGGGAAGACAGCGCGCGGCTGGATAAAGGAACAGGTAAGATAAAAAAAAAACTCTGCGGAAGTAAGAGCGGGTACCTGTCAAATTCAGGTACCCGCTCCCCCTCCCTCCCCAAAGGTCAGCAGTCATCTCTGTACTGTCCGCAGTCTCTGGTCATCCCTGTGCTGTCCGCAGTCTCTGGTCATCCCTGTGCTGTCCGCAGTCTCTGGTCATCCCTGTGCTGTCCGCAGTCTCTGGTCATCCCTGTGCTGTCCGCAGTCTCTGGTCATCTCCTGTACTGTGTCCGCAGTCTCTGGTCATCTCCTGTACTGTGTCCGCAGTCTCTGGTCATCTCCTGTACTGTGTCCGCAGTCTCTGGTCATCTCCTGTACTGTTCGCAGTCTCTGGTCATCTCCTGTACTGTTTGCAGTCTCTGGTCATCTCCTGTACTGTGTCCGCAGTCTCTGGTCATCCCTGTACTGTGTCCGCAGTCTCTGGTCATCCCTGTACTGTGTCCGCAGTCTCTGGTCATCCCTGTACTGTGTCCGCAGTCTCTGGTCATCCCTGTACTGTGTCCGCAGTCTCTGGTCATCCCTGTACTGTGTCCGCAGTCTCTGGTCATCCCTGTACTGTGTCCGCAGTCTCTGGTCATCCCTGTACTGTGTCCGCAGTCTCTGGTCATCCCTGTACTGTGTCCGCAGTCTCTGGTCATCCCTGTACTGTCCGCAGTCTCTGGTCATCCCTGTACTGTCCGCAGTCTCTGGTCATCTCCTGTACTGTGTCCGCAGTCTCTGGTCATCCCTGTACTGTGTTTGCAGTCTCTGGTCATCCCTGTACTGTCCGCAGTCTCTGGTCATCCCTGTACTGTCCGCAGTCTCTGGTCATCCCTGTACTGTGTTTGCAGTCTCTGGTCATCCCTGTACTGTGTCCGCAGTCTCTGGTCATCCCTGTACTGTGTCCGCAGTCTCTGGTCATCCCTGTACTGTGTCCGCAGTCTCTGGTCATCCCTGTACTGTGTCCGCAGTCTCTGGTCATCCCTGTACTGTGTCCGCAGTCTCTGGTCATCCCTGTACTGTGTCCGCAGTCTCTGGTCATCCCTGTACTGTGTCCGCAGTCTCTGGTCATCCCTGTACTGTGTCCGCAGTCTCTGGTCATCTCCTGTACTGTGTTTGCAGTCTCTGGTCATCCCTGTACTGTGTCCGCAGTCTCTGGTCATCCCTGTACTGTCCGCAGTCTCTGGTCATCCCTGTACTGTCCGCAGTCTCTGGTCATCCCTGTACTGTCCGCAGTCTCTGGTCATCCCTGTACTGTCCGCAGTCTCTGGTCATCTCCTGTAGTATGTCCGCAGTCTCTGGTCATCTCCTGTACTCTGTCCGCAGTCTCTGGTCATCTCCTGTACTGTGTCCGCAGTCTCTGGTCATCCCTGTACTGTGTCCGCAGTCACTGGTCATCTCCTGTACTGTGTCCGCAGTCACTGGTCATCTCCTGTACTCTGTCCGCAGTCTCTGGTCATCTCCTGTACTGTGTCCGCAGTCTCTGGTCATCCCTGTACTGTGTCCGCAGTCTCTGGTCATCCCTGTACTGTTAATTAGTTTGCACTACTGTACGAGTTGTTTTTTCTAAACCAAAAGCTCGATATTCAGGTTTCATTGCAGTGTTGGCACTTTGAAAGAAATAAGTTGGTTTTGGGTTGCAGTTTGGGCACTCGGGCTCAAAAAGGTTCGCCATCACTGTTATAGAGTATACAAGTTACTGAAAAAAAAAAAAAAAAAAAAAAAACACACAAGTTTATTAAATCACATAAAAAATCCTCCTGCGCTCTTATGGTAAGTGGTGAATAAAAAACTAACTAAAAAGCAGCCAGCATCTGTCCCATACCAAACAAGGGCAATATGAATAGAATGTAAAGTTGATGCAGCGCTAAAAGACTAAAGCCTAAATACAGTATATAACCAGATAGTAAATATGAGTAATAACATGACCCAAAACCACCTAGGGATAAACAGGAAACAATGGCCCTTAATAGACTAGTAACAGTGGTTAAGTGCAGAATAAGGTGTCCATAGTTCATACAGGGGTGTAAGTGAATCACAGCACACTTCAAAGAACGTGACCCCGGGCAGTCTTGCTGCAATGGCCTCTCACCTCCACTCTACGACCCTACAGGGCCATAAAGCGTAATGTAGATCACCACGGAATCCTCCAATTCAGGGACTCTTTAGATAAATTGGCATCACATAAACAGGGACAGAATTCCTCCAGGCCAGCAGGTGAATAGAAGAGACTCTCCTCCGATGTCACAACCGCTCATATGCTCATAAATGAGGAGATAAACACAATCCTCATAGTGTATTACCGCTTTATTTGAGTATAGGCAGCAAACAAAGAAAGAAGGTAACACACTTACATAACAAACGGCTTGTATGGAGATGCAATGCTGGGTGTACAGCAGGATCAAAAAGGTGCACCAAGATGGCGTCACGCCAGAAGTGCGTCACCACGCTATTGCCGTCGACGCGTTGCGTCACTTACCTCGTGACTTCATCAGGACCCTGATGAAGTCACGAGGTACGTGACGCAACGCGTCGACGGCAATAGCGTGGTGACGCACTTCCGGCGTGACGCCATCTTGGTGCACCTTTTTGATCCTGCTGTACACCCAGCATTGCATCTCCATACAAGCCGTTTGTTATGTAAGTGTGTTACCTTCTTTCTTTGTTTGCTGCCTATACTCAAATAAAGCGGTAATACACTATGAGGATTGTGTTTATCTCCTCATTTATGAGCATATGAGCGGTTGTGACATCGGAGGAGAGTCTCTTCTATTCACCTGCTGGCCTGGAGGAATTCTGTCCCTGTTTATGTGATGCCAATTTATCTAAAGAGTCCCTGAATTGGAGGATTCCGTGGTGATCTACATTACGCTTTATGGCCCTGTAGGGTCGTAGAGTGGAGGTGAGAGGCCATTGCAGCAAGACTGCCCGGGGTCACGTTCTTTGAAGTGTGCTGTGATTCACTTACACCCCTGTATGAACTATGGACACCTTATTCTGCACTTAACCACTGTTACTAGTCTATTAAGGGCCATTGTTTCCTGTTTATCCCTAGGTGGTTTTGGGTCATGTTATTACTCATATTTACTATCTGGTTATATACTGTATTTAGGCTTTAGTCTTTTAGCGCTGCATCAACTTTACATTCTACACAAGTTTATTGATTGCAATGTTCACTCTAAAATCCTTCCCCCGACTGGCCCTCTGTGGAGATGGGGGCTGGAAGCACAGCTCTAAGATGAGAGCCTTGATAAGATATGGAGGTGATGTGTGTGTTTATCATTGATTTCATAGACACACAAACTGCAGTGGAATAAAGGAGCCCATTGTCCACCCGCTCTACTGATGCCAACGTTCGGCTCTGTTCACACCAGACATATTGCAGCATGTTACTGTATGTATGTGGGGACTGATGTACAGCAAGTAGGATTTACTGCAGCAGATTTAGTTATCCAGACTACCAAAGTGTGCATTTATTTCATAGGATGAAACTCTGAATTCCTGAAATATGTTACTAATGGTATGGCAGTTTGGGGTATGCAGTGTATAGCACAGGGTAGCATGCCATGGTCCAGAGTATGTCATGTACAGCTCAGCAGTCCTGGCTATATTACATAAAGTAGTGGCTTAGTAGTTAGCACAGCTGCCTGGCAGTACTAGGGTCATCAGTTCGAATCCTAACCTCAGCACTACCTGCAGAGAGTTTGCATGTTCTCCCTGTGCCTGTGTGGGTTTCCTCCCCCACTTCAAAGACATGCTGGTAGGTTAATTGGCTCCTGTCTAAATTGGCGTGAGTGCGAGTTAGGGATGATAGATTGTAGGCTCCTTGCGGGCAGGGACTGATGTGAATGTAAAGTGCTGTGTACATTTACTGCACTATATAAGTACCTGTAATAATACATATAACAGGCTGAGAACAGCGGTCTGCTGTATGGTAAATACAAAGCAGGATGTCATGTACAGCCCAATGTACATAGAGTGCAGTGGTCAAAAGTATGTAAAGAATCCAGAGTATGTAATACATTGAACCAAATTATGTGATCCAGAGTATATAATGTACAGAATTCACTGGTCCACAGCATGTAATATACAGCACAATGTAGCAATCCAGAGTATGTAATATACATCAGAATGTAGCAATCCAGAGTATGTAGTACAATGTACCAAATTATGTGATCCAGAGTATGTAATATACAGCCAGAAGCGGACTGACAACTCATGGGGCCCCCGGGCAATAGGGGATCATGGGGCCCCTGTGTCCTTGCCCAAACTCAAAAAAGCCTATGAAAAAAAGGTACCAGGGGCATCTCATGGGGCCCCCTACTGACCCCGGGCCCTCGGGCAGTGCCCGCGTTTCCAAATGGTCAGTCCGCCCCTGTATACAGCACAATGTACAGAATGCAGCAATCCAGAGTATGTAATGTACAGCATGCAATGATCCAGAGCAGGTAATACAATGTACCAAATTCTGTGATCCAGAGTATGTAATGTACAGAATGCACTGGTCCAGAGTATGTAATATACAGCAGAATGTAGCAATCCAGAGTATGTAATGTACAGCACAGTGTACAAGATGCAGTGGCCTAGAGCATGTAATATGCAGCAATCCAGAGTATGTCATATACAGCACAATGTACAGAATGTAGCAATCCAGAGTATGTAATGTACAGCACAGTGTACAAGAGCATGTAATATGCAGCAATCCAGAGTATGTCATATACAGCATAATCTACAGACTTCAGTGATCCAGATTATGCAATGTAAAGCATGATAAATGCATAGTATGTACTGTACAGCATGAAGTGATCCAGAGTATGTAATGTGCAGTGTGTACAAGATGCACTGATCTAGAGCAGGGGGTCTACAAACTTTCTAAAGAAAGGGTCAGATTACGGTCCTTCAGTTGTTTGGGGGTCAGACTGTGTCCAGTGGGAGTAGAAATTGTCCTGGTAGCAGTGGGAGTAAACAATGCTTCTTTGGTATAGGGGGAGAAAAAGCACCTCATCAATGGTGTCAGTGGAGGAACAGTGTCCTATGCTTTGTAATACTGGGAGCAATAGCGCCCCGTCGCTGGTGTCAGTGGGAGCAATATACAGTGCACTGCACCGAATTCTGTGATCCAGAGTATGTAATGTACAGAATGCAGTGATCCATAACATGTCATATACAGCACAATGTACAGTATGCAGCGTACAGCACAATGTAGAGAATGCATTGATCCAGAGTTTGTAATACAGCACAATGTACAGTGTACAGCACAATGTAGAGAATGCAGTGATACAGAATTGAGTGCAGTGGTCCATAGTATGTAATATACAGCACAATGTAGAGAATGCAGTGGTCCAGAGTATGTACAGCACAGTGTACAGCACAATGTAGAGAATGCAGTGATCCAGAGTTTGTAATACACAGCACAATGTACAGTGTACAGCACAATGTAGAGAATGCAGTGATTCAGAATCAAGTGCAGTGGTCCATAGTATGTAATATACAGCACAATGTAGAGAATGCAGTGGTCCAGAGTATGTAATATACAGCACAATGTACAGTATGCAGCGTAGACCACAATGTAAAGAATGCAATGATTCAGAATTGAGTGCAGTGCTCCAGAGTATGTAATGTACAGCACAATGTAGAGAATGCAGTGATTCAGAATCTAGTGCAGTGGTCCAGAGTATGTAATGTACAGCACAATGTAGAGAATGCAGTGATTCAGAATTGAGTGCAGTGGTCCATAGTATGTAATATACAGCACAATGTAGAGAATGCAGTGGTCCAGAGTATGTAATATACAGCACAATGTAGAGAATGCAGTGATCCAGAGTTTGTAATATACAGCACAATGTACAGTATGCAGCGTACAGCAAAATGTACAGAATGCAGTGATCCAGAGTTTGTAATATACAGCACAGTGTACAGCACAATGTAGAGAATGCAGTGATTCAGAATCAAGTGCAGTGGTCCATAGTATGTAATATACAGCACAATGTAGAGAATGCAGTGATTCAGAATAGAATGCAGTGGTGCAGAGTATGTCATGTACAGCACAATGTACAGTATGCAGCATACAGCACAATGTAAAGAATGCAATGATTCAGAATTGAGTGCAGTGGTCCAGAGCATGTAATGTACAGCACAATGTACAGTATGCAGCGTACAGCAAAATGTAGAGAATGCAGTGATCCAGAGTTTGTAATATACAGCACAGTGTACAGCACAATGTAGAGAATGCAATGATTCAGAATTGAGTGCAGTGGTCCATAGTATGTAATATACAGCACAATGTAGAGAATGCAGTGGTCCAGAGTATGTAATATACAGCACAGTGTACAGCACAATGTAGAGAATGCAGTGATCCAGAGTTTGTAATATACAGCACAATGTACAGTATGCAGCGTACAGCAAAACATAGAGAATGCAGTG